CTCTTGGAGGATCAAGGACGGTGGAGACGTTATGCCGAGAGGGAATTATACCCCCTACTTCATTACAAGCAGCATGGTCCTACGGATGGACGATCAGAGCGCACGTGGTGGGCCGACTATGTCCGTATGAACCGGCTTTTTGCGGACCGTATTGTGAAGGAATACAAGGAGGGTGACATTGTCTGGATCCATGACTACCATCTTTTCCTTTTGCCAAGCATGTTACGTCAACGCATCCCTAACGTCTACATTGGATTCTTCTTACACGCACCATTCCCTAGCAGCGAATTTATGCGCTGTCTCGCCAAGAGGAAGGAGGTGCTCACTGGAGTTCTCGGTGCGAATATGATCGGTTTCCAAACCTTCTCCTATTCCCGTCATTTTTCGTCTTGCTGTACCCGCGTCTTGGGATTCGACTCTAATTCAGCTGGAGTCGACGCGTACGGCGCCCATGTGGCGGTTGACGTGTTTCCCATCGGGATTGACACCAGTGCTATTCAACGAGCAGCCTTTGAATCCACCGAGATAGAGCAAGCGGTGTTGGGAATTCGCAAGCTGTACGCCGGCAAAAAAATTATTGTTGGTCGCGATCGATTGGACAGTGTCCGAGGTGTAGCACAGAAGCTGCAATCCTTCGAAGTCTTCCTCGAAAAGTACCCGGAATGGCGTGATAAGGTGGTTCTGATCCAGGTGACCAGCCCCACTAGCGTCGACGAGCAGAAGGAAGAAAACAAGATTGCTAGCCAGATTTCGAATCTAGTCTCTACCATCAATGGGCGCTTCGGATCTCTGAGCTTTTCACCCGTGAAATATTATCCGCAGTACCTTTCCCCGCACGAGTATTTTGCATTGCTGCGGGTGGCTGACGTGGGCCTGATCACGACGGTTCGGGATGGGATGAATACGACCAGTCTGGAATATATCATCTGCCAGCAGAACAACAATGGCCCTTTGATACTCTCTGAGTTCTCGGGTACTGCAGGAACCCTCTCCAATGCAATTCATATAAACCCATGGGATACGGTGGGAGTTGCGGGCGCAATCAATAAAGCTCTCTGCATGTCCCCTGAGGAGAAGGCGGTGCAACAGCAGAAACTATACAAGCATGTCACTGCCAACACCGTCTCGGCCTGGTCTAAGCAGTTCCTCACCCGACTGCTCACGAATCTATCTTCCTTTGATCAGTCCGTGGCAACGCCAGCTCTCGATAGAGTCAAGCTATTGAAGCAGTATCGCAGAGCTCGTAAGAGGTTGTTCATGTTCGATTATGATGGGACCCTTACTCCAATTGTGAAGGACCCACAAGCAGCTATTCCTTCTGATCGCGTTCTCCGCACTCTCAAGACTCTCGCTGCCGACCCACGGAATGCAGTATGGATCATCAGTGGCCGTGATCAGGCTTTCTTGGATGAGTGGATGGGCCATATTCCTGAATTGGGCTTGAGCGCCGAACATGGATGTTTTATTAGGAAACCTCATTCCGACGACTGGGAAAATCTGGCCGAGCGAAGCAACATGGGTTGGCAGAAGGAGGTCATGGAAACATTCCAGCACTTTACTGAACGAACTCAAGGCTCCTTCATAGAGAGAAAGCGGGTCGCTCTCACGTGGCACTACCGGCGCGCCGATCCTGAATATGGTGCATTCCAAGCTCGCGAGTGCCGAAAGGCGCTTGAAGATACCGTAGCCAAGCGGTGGGAAGTGGAAGTTATGTCAGGTAAGGCCAACTTGGAGGTCCGGCCGACTTTTGTGAACAAGGGCTTTATTGCCGCCCGCTTGGTCAATGAGTACGGAAATGAGCCTGGAGATGCACCCGAGTTTATCTTCTGCTCAGGAGACGATTTCACAGATGAAGGTATGTCCCCCGCCCCCTGGCGCCATTATCCTCAGCAAATACTCGGATGCTGACTGCACTTTTCGTTCCCAGACATGTTTCGTGCTCTGCAGGAATTCGACTTGCCACAAGATCACGTTTACTCGGTCACTGTTGGGGCAAGCTCAAAGCAAACAGCCGCCAGCTGGCATCTTCTCGAACCAGCGGATGTGATTGAAACGATCTCCATGTTAAACAATAGCTCTTGCTCTCAAGAGTACTAAACCACTCGCGCCTTTTACGACCGGGATGCAGCTCCTTTTTTGTTTTCTCTTTTTCTTTTTCGTTTCATCTAGACTTTAGCTTCGCTTTCATGCTTATATAACTCCATGTTTCTCCTCCCGGGGCGTTGATACGGGGCAGCGATGGTGATTGATTTGTTAGAGCTCAAGGCGATTAGGAAGAGGGCCTTGTCGGCCATGGAGAGGAGCGTTCTTGAGTTCTTCTTTTGCGGCAGCTCTGGACCGAGGGCCCGTTCTCTCTTCGCTTTTGAATCTAATAGCCGTTGATACTATTTCCTTCTTGAACTGCTTTATAGATGGCCGAAGCGAAGATGACGCGCTGCCCCTTCATATTCCTTTTTATGTTGTCGTTGTCGTTGTCTAAAAGTATCGTGCGCTCCGAAGAATATAGAGAGAACACAGAAATGCCGTTTTAAAACCCACGACTCGTCGACGCTGCATAGCCGAGGAATCATATTGTTGTCTTGGCCCGATTCGGTCTTCTGTGCGAACGAGACCCGGCAGGGAAAGACGCCCTGTTCTCCACAATCCGGGGATCTCGGCCTATACTCCGTCCGCACTGAACTGACTGGTTTACCCCTCCTACAGGTAACTTATGTCTCTTAGTTCTGTCCGCATCTCCTTATGATGTTTCTACCCCTCACGGACGTGGTGTTGTGTGCTTCGCCAGCCTTCTAGGAGGTTCGATACAGATTGTGAACCTGAATCATATTACTGATTAGAATATCCCCACGGTAACTTATAAAATGGCTATGAAGACAACGTCACAACTACCGTGCAGCGTCGATCCAATCAGTCCAGCGCATGGAGCCGGCAAGAGGATCCCCCAAGAGGAGAGCTCTAATGTTCCTCAGTCTCCCAATCAATCTGTCCTCTATAGAGGTAGAGATCAAGTGGGAGATGAGGAAAATGCTATCGACACCCCACGGCCGAAGGAGCTGTCCAAGACCCCAACAAGTGTGAGCAATTTCGGGGCCTTGACCACTCGAAGTTTGACACTCGTTCGGACGAGGGAATCAGGAAAGGACTTGGGCCCCCCTCCGGACGGCGGCTTCGGCGCATGGTTCCAAGTGGCCCTAGCCCATTTTGTTATCTTCAATACTTGGGGCTATATCAACAGCTTTGGCGTTTTTCAAGACTACTATACCCAGACCCTGAAGCGGCCGCCCTCTGATATATCCTGGGTTGGCAGTATTCAGATCTTTCTACTGTTCTTCATTGGGACTCTCTCGGGACGTGCCACCGACGCCGGATACTTCAAGGTCATCCTGATTCTCGGGGCCATACTCGAGCTATTTTGCATCTTCATGACTTCCCTGTGCACTCGGTACTGGCAACTGTTTCTGGCACAGGGGATCGGCCAAGGGATTGGCTGCGGGCTCATGTTTTGCCCGACTATTGCTTTGATTCCGACGTATTTTACCAAGAAGCGAGCCATCGCGATTGGCATAACAGCCTCGGGATCGGCCACAGGAGGGCTGGTCTTTCCGGCAGTAGTCATGCGGCTTCTACCCCAAATTGGGTACGGATGGACGGTGCGAACGTTGGGCTTCATTTCGCTAGCCACGTTGACACCTTGCTTGATCTTTCTTCAGCAAAGGCTGCCGCCCCGTCGTAGTGGGCCACTGATCGAATTGAAAGCCTTCCGAGAGAGTTCCTATGCGCTCTTTACGCTGGGAATGTTCCTGAACTTTTGGGGCCTTTACGTGGGATTCTTCTATATCAGCAGCTTTGCGCAAGATATCGTCGGCGTCTCGGAGCCTACCTCGACTGATGTGCTCCTGGTGATGAACGGGGTGGGCCTGGTGGGTCGCTTGATCCCCAACCTACTGGCGGACTGGTACACAGGTCCGTTGAATATGCTCATCCCCTTCAGCCTGATAACTGGGGTCGTGGCCTATTGCTGGGCGGTGGTAGGGAGCTATAGAGGTCTGTACGCTTTCAGTGCCTTCTATGGGCTTGCAGCGGCCGGCATCCAATCCTTGTTCCCCGCCACATTAAGTACATTGACGACCGACTTAAAGAAGACAGGAGTTCGCATGGGGATGGTATTGAGTGTGGTGGCAGTGGCCGCCCTCATTGGCACGCCTATCGCAGGAGCTCTGGTAGATCGGGACGGCGGACAATATATGCACAGATGTTCATGGGAAGTGCCATCTTGGCGGGCACGTTGACTTTGATTGCAGCGCGCACAAGCAAATTAGGTCTGTCCTGGCAACGCGCTTGAAAATGATTCATGAACTCAAAAAGGGAGGAAGGAGGGAGAAGGAAGTTAAACCGAGAAGAAGAATCAATCATCAATATGGGCTAGGTGAGCCTCAACATAGTTAACTAACTAACCAGTTAAGTTAACTACCGAATACCACGATGATTACAATGTGTGAAGAGGTTTCTTGGAGAGGAGGGGGTTGAAACAGTGTGCGATACAAAAGTAAGTACTGGACTCGTCTATAATGTAAGTATATTATACACAGGTAGGACATATATGAAGATATATAGTGCTCGTTGGAGTACCAGTAGTTAACTTGGATAGAACATGAGACATTGACGTTATATATAACTACGCAGTATCGAGTATCTGATGATACAGTATAGTACAATACAGTACATACTGTATTCGGAGCCCAAAGCAAAATTTTAAGTCCACCGATCTCTATCCCCCTCCCCCGCCTTTTCTTCCGCGAGAGCTACAGAGCGTGACTGGCCGACTGCTCTTCAACTTCACTTCATCTTCATTCCTCCCTCCCTCCCTCCCTCCCCCCCTCCGCCAACTCCTTCACTAACACACACACACACTCACACTCTCTGTCTCCTCGCCACCACCTCTCCCCCTCCTCCACTACGGCGCAAAGCACAACAACTTCCTCCTTCATTCCTCACGCACCATGGCACCCCGCGGTCGCGGAAAGTTTTCCAAACCTTCGCGAGGAGGTACGTGCAAAAGCCGAACACCAAATTCTGAGAGTGAATGAAGCGGACTTCCCCTCATCAGGATCACACCACAAGAGAAGGATACTGGCCGCGACTGACCTGGTGCAATTTCCCTGCGCACACATCGAACAGGTGGAAAACATTTCAGTCGTGATGTTCAACCCATTGACAAAGATGGAAACCCTGTTGGCCTTTGGAGGGTTCGTATGCCTTTTCTTTTTTTCCGGACACTCCTATTCTAATCTGGGCTCACTGCACCCCTGAACGTTCTATACAAGACCCCCTCCCATTGTAACCAACTCTCCAAATCCCAGCCCCACTAATTCCGAGACCACATCGCAGGATCCCGAGGAGAACAATCTCTCCTCTTCCGAGGAGGAGGAATCTTCTGATTCAGGCTCCGAAGAGTCCTCCGACAATGATGATAACGAACCTTCCCACGGCGCCCGACCCGGTCCGTCTTCCATACCCGCTGCGAGCAGCAGCGGTACCACCGAAATGACCCGTGAGGAGCGGCGTGCGGCTGCCAAAGCGAAAAAGCAGGCTGCTCAGGCTCGCCGGATGCACACTGCCGCTCAACCGGGTGACCTACCCCCTTCGAACTCGGACGGATCAGGCAACGACACCGACGACGATGACGACGATCTACCAGCCAATCCTAACCACACGGCCAAATCGCGCTCCCAGCTCAGCGACAACCACGAAGACGCGCAAAAGCCGGAAGGCGATCTATCACAGTTGTCGCGGCGGGAGCGTGAGGCGATTGAGGCTCATCAGGCGCGACAACGCTACTTGAAGCTTCATGCTGAGGGTAAGACAGAGGAGGCTCGCTCCGACTTGGCTCGTTTGGCGATCGTTCGCGAACAGCGTGAGGCTGATCGCCTGCGCAAGGAAGCTGAGAAAGAGGAGAAGGTCGAGCTTGCGAAGCTGCGCGCCGCCGAACGAGATGCCAAGCTGCAGGCTGCCAAGGGTGGGAAGAAGAAAGGTGTGCCAAAGAGAAAGTAATCGCCACGCAATAGACATCTCCAATTTGACTTTAGTTCCCGCTGCCGCTGGTGCACGTCATATACCTTGATTCTGTACAGGTTGTGGAATCATGATTGGCCTTACTTTCCCTTCTAGTCTTCTCTATCAAGTCCTTGGCAGAAATACAGAGCCACACACATGACATAAAATCATGCATTATATCTATCCAGAAGATATGCTGTACAGTACGAAAGTACTTCTGTTTCAACTAACAGGTGGGACGGATTTTCACATCCATTACCACTAGGTTGTCAGATAAAATACCTTGCAAATCCTTCAGCCTGGAATCTGGGTCCTCCTATATGAAACGAGAAGGCCAAATATATTATCATAAATCAGTGGTCCACGACTGACCGAGTAATTGCAGCACTAACACAAGATGACATATACGCCGGCGCTGAGCAAAAAATTTCAAGACTTACATACATTGCAGTTATGGTAGTGAAGAGGAGATGCTCTTGAGGGGAGCAGCTCAAGCACCAACTCGAGCACAAGGCAGTGCTTATGCACCCCAGACCAAGACCTCCAGGATCCGACCTTGCATGACCAGGCTCCATCCGGCGACTAGGCTGACAAGCCACAAGATCGCGAATGCTAGGATAGGGAGCAAGAGTACTTCGGTGTTGTGCAAGAAGGGAAGGGCATTGTATCCCAAGAATGTAATATAGGTGTAATATGTCAGTGCAGACAGGTAGAGCGTGTTGCCGAGGAAAGTAGCCAGGAAATTGCTTGGACTGCGGGTGAGCAGTGGCAGAAGAAGAAACTGCACAACATAAAGATGCAGATAAAGGGGAAAGTATGCCCGATTCGATACCTGAGATTTGCGAGATTTAGTTTCTCTGCTCAAAATCCTGGGCCATAAGACAGGTTGATGTGACTTACATCAAAGCAGTAGCCAAACTCCAGCTGGTCCTTTTCACCAGGCTGCGTGAACAAGCCCTGCGCCGCGCCACGCCGCCGACCACGACTACCTCGAAATCCAGTGAGGGAGGCTGCGGCGCCATCAGGGCCGAATAGGCGGGGAATCATGAGATATCCTAACGTCGAGACCAGAAGCGAGGACCCGATGAAATGAACGAAGATGAAAATCAGAGACAGCCGAACAATGGACCCAAACGACGGCGCATAGGCGAGGCCCCACGCGAGGGCTGTGAGAAGGAGGAAGAAGGAGAGCAGGTAGGTGAAAGATGGATCCGGGCGATGCCAGGTATTCTTCGTTTCTGGAAATCGGTCAGTTCCTCACCACGGCAACCTGGTCAGACATGCAGAATACGTATATTCCAGACAACCTACGTTTCTTTGAGCCAGACAGGGAGTTAGTAGACAATCAACATTTTCTGTGGTCTGGAAACAGATATAACGTACATGGTAGTATATTGACTTGAAAACTTTCTTGGGCGCAATCAACAGAGAGGTCATCTCCCAAATCGCCATCTCGAAATCCATCTGCGGGAACTTGAATAGCCTAATCCACAAAGAAGAAGGGAGGGGTATGATCAGCTATAGGCCGAGGATGTTGATAAAGATCGTCCTGGATGCTCCACGCCGGGCTGTACGCCGCGTACCGAAGGCTCCCAGTCCGAGTTGAAACGCCTACCTTTTAAAGAAGCGCGGCATCCGTATACTGGATCTACGGCTGGCAGGCGTAGTGCCGCCGAAATTCAATGGACTGGCATGTTGACGGGGAACAGATATATGAGGGTTCATCTTTCAGAAAGTGGACGAAGGAAGGAAGAAGGAGAGATGATGGGGGGGGGGAGGGGGGTCCCAAGTCGGGGGACAACACCACTTAAGAGGAATGAGACTCATGCAAATTGAACGTGAGACCCGCTCCAGAGGAAAAGCTGGTTGAGCCACAGCAAATCTTGAGCTGACACTGGTGAGGAAGAAGGAGGAGGAGGATAAATGTGAAGAGGGGGAGGAGGAGGAGGAGGAGGAGGAGGAGGAGGAGGAGGAGGAAGGAGAAGAGAAGCAGATGATGGAGCTCCTTCGATAGTTGGAAACAACGCATGGATGTTATGTCATCATCTGGGGTCCTCTTGCTGCGGAGGAATTTGGACCCCGTTACAAGGTATGGTATATGCACTCACTACTCAAACCTACTGAAATTAGCATTATACTACTACAATATACATACTCCCTGTCAAGTTATCATGGATAACTTACACTAGGTCCTCTATAGACTGTGTCTATATACAGAACACAGGCCACTTCTGCCACGTGGGATTGGATCTGCGTACAATGCTTGAAGGGATGTACAGTCCAGTACATACTATGAACACTGTAGGATATCTTACGTTCATGTTGATTACCTTAGACTGCCTAGCAACATAAAGACCAATTGACTGACCTTGAACGAGTCAGGAAAGTCTGGAAGGCATGGCTTCTGAAACCGATGTTGACAGATTTGGTTAGGGAATCGAATGATCTTGGAAGGGCATTTGACATTTGACCAGTCTTCCAGACTGATGGTGATACAGAATGGCGCCTCATTACTCCCAAAACAGGTGAGACGTATCATTTTTCCTGGTGCTCTAAAAAAGGCCCAAGTCAATACGAAGGCTGCACGGAATAGTTAGTTTCATGGGCTTACGGGGGTAGTGCACATAAATAAGTCTACTCATTCATGCTACAGTTTATCTCAAAAACTACAACTATAACAGGATGACTTGTGGATACAGACAGTACTCCGTAAAGTACTTGAATCGGTGGCTGCAGCCGCCGATAAAGTGATAAAGTGATAAGGTGATAAAGTGATAAAGTGGCCCCCTGAACTGCTAGAGGGTCTTCAGATCCGACACTAGCAGCGACCATTAGACTATTCCAATTAGTACATTATTCTGGTTAGGTTGAGTTTTCTGTTGTTCAATCATAAGGTACGGAGTATGTTTGTTCTTTCATTTGTTTCTTCCTCTTCCTTTTTTCTCTCTCCCTCCATCTTGCCCTGCAGGGTCCCTGACTCTTTCAAATGACCATCCTGGGTCGACCACAATTTCCGGTGTTTGATCAAGACGCTTGCGCATGCATTAACTAACATGCATTCGAGGTGAGTAGCTTACGAGGTACAGTACCTACCAGGTACGGAGTACTGTTAACTTCCTTCCAATTTTCCAATTTATCCTTCCTCCTCTTCCATCCAGCGTTCGCGATCCTCGTGGCCAGTTCACTCTCTCCACCCCCACACCCACTCTCACCTCAAGAAGGTTTCCGGCGCCCGTCTCCAGGCTTGGGTTTTGTTTGACTTTCCATATCCCTTGGGTCGTCTTGATCGCGGTCTCCGTTTCCTCGACCTATTGCTTGTCATACACTTTCCACTCTCTCTTCCCCGATTCATGAAATCCCCTTTCCCTTCACACGTCTCTCCGACTCCACGTCGATCAATCTCTCATTCTTTCACCTTGACTGATGATTGAAGGAACATAGAAGGATCGATATAGCTTGCTTTTAATCATCACGCAATCCAATTGCAGCACACGGCCCCTCCTCCCTCCTCCCCCCCCCTACACCATCAATTCACTTCTCTTTCTATCTCTCACGCGATGTTCAGCTGGTGGTAAATTTTGACCTACACTGTGCTTCGATGACGGCGACGGCCATTGCTATGCCGCTTATCTAATGTCCGCGAATTGGCTCCCGTCACATTCTTGAGATCAGGAGAAGGGTCAGTCAGGGCTTCGAAGCCCCTCAAGGCGAACGGTGACGCCCAGTAATCCACCGACCAATAGCTCCAAAACGGACGCTCTGTCTCGCTTCCACGACTGGGCACAGGCCCTGCTCTTTTTGATCTCCTGTCTTCTCTTTTCCCTTCCACTTTACGTTCTTTCTAGGCCCCGTCGCTCGCTTCGCATTAATGCCACGAACCCCGGCCATTCGCAGAAGTCCTCTTCGATGAACAGAACCTCTCGTTTCCATAGTCGCACAATGCCTCCGCAGCACGCAAGCAGTTCACCCCCTCAAACCCCTCCGTTCGAACCAAGCGATCGAAGAGCCGCGAGAAGGGGAACCCACCCACGACCTTCCGTACGGGAGACCTTTCTGGACGACTTCAATCCAGCTGATAATGCCAACGACAGCAATGAATCGGGCGACGAGCGCGACCCACATGACTTGTCGCTATCGCCGAAACATGCAGCCCGCACCTCAATTGTGGATAACATGCTCCTGTCGTTGGATCAGTTTGCTTCGGGCTCTCTGCTGGATGATTATCGCTTATTCAATTCGGTGTTTGAGGCCGACTTGTGCGGCAACGGTTCGCCAGAGTCGATCGCGCAACGCCGCTATCGAGGCCACACTTTCTCTTCCTCCGTGTCCTCGGAGGTAGAATGCACGTACGATGACAGCACTGGCCGTTATGCAACACAACCGGCGAGAAGCCGTCGAAGCAACAGCAGCTCGAACTATCATGCCAGCCTACGAAGATACGGCAGCACTCGCAGTCGCGAAGGAACCGGCTCCCGTGGTCAGCTGTACGATTATAGGACCAATTCGAACATTGCGTCCCCAGCGAACGTTCGAGCGTCTCGGAATGGAAATCGAGGCAGTTCCTCGTCCCCCACGGATCTTACTTCAATGCAAATGGGACGACTGGACGCGGCCGGCGAGAGGCGTTCTGCGAGCTTAGACTTCGGCACAAGACAGCCATTCATCTCATTTCCAGATCTTGTCTTTGACTTGGACTCCTCGTCGTATGGAGGGCTTGATGCAGCGCCGACTCCAAGCGTCCCCGGTGGACCAAGTAAATTCCACTCGTCTCCGCAGGCTGAATATGCAGGCACCTCTAAACCCCAGCAGTCAAGGACGACACCCGTGGCATCGCGCCGGAACAGCGTCAAATCGCCGCGGTCGAACAACAGTCGAAAGGCTCGACCGGAAAATCTGGGCACGGCGACGGTCCGGAGTCACCATTCAGATTTGGCCAACCTCGGGGAGAGCGGACTCGAACTTCCGCCGACGATCCCTGCATCGCTCGACCCGCCCGCGCCGAGCCCAACCATTTCCTTCAACAAGCCGATCTTCCCCGCGCCACCCGACCCCGCTCCAGCAGCTAAGGAACGGCCAGGGTTCTTCCGGCGTGTGTTTGGCTCCTCAAAGGTGTCGACCGCCATTTCAAGCGAGTACCACCCTTCCGACCACGTCTTCGCCCAAGAAAACGACCACAAGGATCCCAGCGGATTTGGGCCGAACGCCAAGAGTTGGAGACAGCCACTCAAGAATAGTGCAGCAGGAATCAACTCGCACCGCGAAGGAGGAACGCACCAGGTAGTGACCAAGAAGTCTTCCTTCTTCCGTCGGCGCAAGAGGTCTGTTGCTGAAAGTGCTCCTCCCCCTATTGTCTTTCCCCCGGAGCTCAGCGGCCATCTCCGCGTACTGGAACCGGCCAAACCGGAGGCTATCTCGGTTAGCAGTATAGGGAAAGGGATGAACCCTTCTTCCACTGCAGACCCCGGCAGTAGACCCTTGGACCGGCGCCCAGCCGCGGAGGCCCAAAACCTGGGAGGTTCGCCGACGCAAAATCAGAGAGGGAGTTTAGTCACAGCAACCCAGAGTCCTTCAAAGGCCAAATACAGCCTTTACCCGACGGTTCCACCGAGCAGCGCTCCGGAGGCATCATCACTTGGCCTCACCAGCAGTGGAGATGAGGCGTCGACCATCGTCAGATCGGGCGGCTTGGATCCGAATCACCCTGCCGATCAGCAGCAAGAACCGGAGCACCCATGGCGTGGAAAGGGAGTGGACTCGAACAGTAACGACGTAGATAACGGTTCTGGTGCTAGTACTCTTCAAACAAAGCTGAAACCTGAGGAGTTACCCGGCTCCTCGCTTTCGCCTGTGGTTGAAAGCTTCTCTCAGACAGGTGCCGTCCCTGAAGAGAACCTTGATGATATCGCTCTTCAGAATCCACCGAAGTTGAAAGAAGCCCACGAATCCTTCCCTTCAGATGTGTGCAGGGATAATGAAATGCGGAGGAATACGTCTGCCGCTGCGGCTGGCTTGAATGAGTCCCCACGGGTTTCGACTTCGGAAGTTTCGAACTACTATACGGCTTCAGAAGCTCCCACCGCAATGTCAATTGAGCCAAAACGTATAGATCCCCTCAGAGAGGAGCCTCATAGTTCCAAGGGTCCCGTTGGTGACGAACCAACAGATTCCGACCGGGAGCAAGCCAGGATGTTGTTCGAAGGTCAGGAGCAAGTGGTCGGGAACGAGCCTGCCGCCGCCTGGCTTGGGGATCCCGACCGTGCTTCGATACGCAACGCATACATGGAACTTTTCGACTGGTCCAACCTCAACATCCTGGCAGCCCTGCGAAGTCTTTGTACTCGGCTGGTGTTGAAGGGTGAGACTCAGCAAGTGGATAGAGTCTTGGATGCTTTTTCCACAAGGTGGTGTGCGTGTAACCCGCGCCATAGCTTCAAAGCTGCAGGTAGGTTCAGCCCAATTCCGCAATTGAGCGCCATGGCTGGACTAATGGTATCGCTCTAGATGTTGTGCACACAATCTGTTACTCTCTCCTCCTGTTGAACACTGACCTACATCTTGCCGACATCGAGCAGAAGATGACTAAGACTCAGTTTGTTCGGAATACGATGCCCACGATCCATCGCGTGGCTGCCGAAGCCGCCCCTGACGAAAGTCTCAATGGTAAATCGAGAGTCTCGACACAAGATCCGATGTCACCCACCGACGATCATGACCGGCGTTTTGCGAGCATGGATAGGCCGCTTAATCAACCGGCAAAACTAGTCAACCGATTGTCTCGGACTGATCTATCTGCGAAGATTACAACTGATGCTGATAACGAGACTGGCCCGCTTGTCAACACGCCTTTCATTGGGTCGATGAGGCTATGGGAACAACAGGTCGAGGCTGTTCTCCGGGACTTTTATTCCTCGATCCAGAAACAGAAGCTTCCTCTTCACGGCGCTTCAACAGAGAGAGAAGGGCCGCGGTCTTCAGCCAACAACTTGCTTGGCCCTTATACTAGTGGGCTCCGCCGAAGTCCCAGCACTGTGAGCAGAAGTGGCTCTGACATCTATCCTCGTGGTCGCTCTGCAGATTCCCGCTATGGGACTGCGCGGTGGTCATCAAAACCTCGTTCGCGAGCGAGGCTATATCCTCCGTCTACCATGGGATCTAGTCGGACCAGCTTGGACGATCAGGCATCGCTCTGGAGTCCTTCCGCATCAAGTACTTGGAGTAAGTACTCCTCCGGAAAGTTGACTTCGGCATCAGTGGATTCATTTGGGTCAGACTTTCCGCGCGGGGACTATCAACAGTCGATAGGCTTCGCCAACGCCTTGAGTCAAGCCATTATCCGTGAAGATTCGGCCCATTCAATCACAAGCATCGAGGATGCTGAGAGGGATACCCCGCTTTTGGAGGACGAAACTCTACAACTTGCCGGCGCCCCTTGGGCCAAGGAAGGCAGCCTGAAGCATAAACACCACCTGGACTCAGTTGATAAGAGGGCGAAGGATCGCAATTGGAACGAGTGCTTTGCGGTCATTCAGCAGGGCTGGATGCGCCTTTTCTCTTTCAATGCCTCGGTCAAAGGCGCCCGGCAGAAGCCTAAACAGCGTCACCCGGGGGGTGTCGTGGTGGGAGGCGGAAACTGGACTGAGAACGCCGAAGAGACATGGAAATTTCTCCTCCGCCAGACCATCGCCAGTGCGCTCCCACCTCCCGGCTACTCCAAATCTCGTCCCCATGTTTGGGCGCTAAGCCTCCCAACCGGTGCTGTACATCTTTTCCAAGTGGGAACCCCGGAGATTGTGCGCGAATTTGTATCGAGTGCCAACTATTGGAGCGCCAGATTATCAAAGGAACCCTTGATCGGTGGGATCAGTAATATCGAGTACGGCTGGAGTGATGCCGTCATCAACAGCGCTCTCATCACGGCCGAGAGCAGTCGGACGCCACCGTCCTCATCCGGGGCTCGACCTAGCATCCAAAGTTCGATCCGGAGCTCGCTTGATCAACAGGGCATTCGACCTCGGTTACCAGCCGATCGGGTCCTCATTAGCGACTGGGCCCCTCCCCAGCAAAGCATGGTGGCCTCGGCCCTTCCCGAGGCTGACCAACTGAAAGCTTTGCAGGCGTATGTCAAGAATGTTGAAGACGAGCTCCAGCGGCACAATGAACTCCGCTCTGCCATGATCCTAGCGTTTTCACCTCGCCACCCCAATGCTTCTAAGGCGTTGGCCAATTGGGAGCGAAAGTCTTCATACCTCTTGCGTGAAATAGTGAAATTTCGCACATATATCGATTCGTTGTCGAGCGCACTGGAACAGAAGAATAGAATCTATGCAGCCCGCGAAGAGACTGCGGCAGAGGAGTGATTGGGGCTTCCTGTTCATTTTTGGCTCCTTCTGCTTGTGACCCCCAAGCTCATGTTTTTCATTATACCCTTATTTCCTTGCAGTTGCTTAGTAGTCATGCATTCCAGTCGTTTTGGAAGCCGTGTTCTTTTGCACTCTTGATCTCCTCATCTGCCTTTATTCTTTTACCTTCATTGGTGTTTTCTTGTCGCTGCTGTCCAATTTTGTTTCTCCCCCCCGGCTTTTTCTCTCATGCTGGTAATTCTACCTAGTTGCTTAGAATCAAATCGGTAGATCTACTCCTCAACTGCTCAGGATATTGTAAATGTACAGTACATACAGTATCTGCCACTGGGCATGATAAACTACCTTCCCTGTTGCTACCGCGGTTGCTGCCGCGGTTGCTGGACCCGGCGTTGGCAGCCTAAGGTGTCAATTCACCACCCAAACAGTAAATACAACACATAGGTTAACACATCCCGTTGTGACCGACGACGCATCATCTGGTCCCAACCTACACTTTCCAACTGCTCCGCGCCTAGCCAACCTTCCATTTCCTCGCTCCTGTTCCTACTGGGACTGCTTCACTCCTATGTACCTTACAATAGCAGCTCTCTACAACTTATCACGAAATCTTATGCGATCACGTCCACCAATCTGAAGTTCCAAGTCCCCCCCCCCTCCAAAAGTGTGGGGGAATCTGCACTCAGAACACCATGGATACAATCGGCTCAGGCGGCGAAGCTGATCGCATTGGCACTGACACTGACAAAGCACCATCTGATATAATCAGTCGACCCAACCCTGCGACTGATACATCTTCCGCGCGACAGCAAGAACCCGACGATACGAACCTTTCTCTGCCCCCTTTGCCCGATAATGACGACAGTAGCCTACTCCTGTCGAGCGAGGATGGCGATCACGATCGTGCCGAGGACCAGACCTTTCTCCAGGAGAATGAAATGCGGAAACGACTGATGGACATGGAGTCAAGTTTTTTACCTGACCCTTCGACCATTCAAGCCACAGCAATAAATCGAACCGTCCGTGCTGATGATACATCGATAGTTGAGGCGCATCGCGGCAGTGGCCGTGGTCCTTCCGGTCCGGAAAATTCTCAGTTATCCTTTCTGGTAACGGATGAGTCAAATGTTGACATTACATCGGTCGGCGACGAGGTTCCGATTCCGCAAACCCCTAGCCCGCGTCCTAGCCCGCGTCCTGAAGAGGCTGACGATGAAGGCATGGACGCGACATCCGCGGCTTCATCCGAGCAGCACGCCGACAATACTACGACCCAAATTGAGGGAACATACTCGTCGCCCTCGGCGGCGGCAGCTCTTAGGACAGCCAACAGGAATCCGACCGCCTCCCTGGAAGATCCTCGAGATGCCAACCAAATCTCTATAGACGCTATTCGAAGAGAGCACTCTTCCAAACCCGAGCCTAACCAGTTGCTGCAGTCCATAGGGCAGAACTCTCGCAGCGAGCCGCCCAACTTATCACCTGGGCCGTCGAGGTTCTTCCAAGAGAACAGCGGCGGGGACGCAGAAGCGATCTCGCGCGCAAGCAGTCGCAGAAGTAGTAGGCCAAAGTATCTAGCCAGCCGCCAGTCGGCACATCGGCTTTCATACTCATCGGTAACAAGCACCGGCACAGAGATAACAAATAGCGATGCGACATTGGGTGCTGATTATGCCCTTCAATCGGGCGGTGCAGCACCTGGCATGACGAGTAGCATCCAAGCCGGACAGCGCAACACCCTAGCCCGGTCGGTGAGCTTGGGCAGCATGGCTTCAGGCATTTCTAGTTACAGCGATGATAACGTCTTTGACCGTAAAGGACCCAGTGGAACTATAGAAGGGGGTCTCCACACTCTCAACGAGGAAGACGGGCCCTCAAGGTCGCGCCCAGGATCATCTTCCCAACACCACCACACCCATCAGCCTGGAAATCATGTATCTGAGCAATCGAGTGCCCAAGAAGCTGCAGAGCCAATAACACCGAAGGCTAAACACCGCAACAACAGCTTCCCCACGGATACAGCTATCGCCGAACGCATCAAAGATGTTCAGATCCCAAGCACATTCGTCAAGCAATTTAGGGAGGATTATGGCAGCCGTGCACTGTCCCCAGACAAACGTACAAGCACCACTCCCGGCTTTGCAAAGAGTGGTCGTACCATGACTCTCAAGGAGCAAAGTAGTACCATCGACCGTCTCTCGAAAGAGAATTTCGATCTGAAGATGAGAATCCACTTTTTGAACGAGGCCTTGAACCGGCGCTCTGAGGAAGGTATCAAAGAGATGATTTCCGAGAATGTCGAGCTGAAATCAGATAAGTTGAAATTACAGAAAGACAGCCAGAACCTGAAGCGGAAAGTCCGTGAGCTTGAAAAACAGCTAAAGGATCAGCAATCAGACAAAGAATCCATGGTTAATCACGACCCTGACGGCTCCGAAGATGAAGACCGAGATGCAGCACAGGACGAAGAGATACTGTTCCTGAGGGAACGGATAGAAACCTATGAGCTAGAGATTGAGAGGTTCAGGTCAGAAAGTATCGTGCGTGAGAGCGAGAAGAGAAGACTTGCTGAGATGGTGAAATCACTCAGCGATGGAAGGAGTGAGGGAAGGCCCATGGGATCCGACGTGGGAGCAAGGGAAGAAAGGGTCAGTCCATGTTCACCTTGCGAGCAGCTTCTTCGAGGTCAACCCTACTGACGTTTCGAACTCCAGGATATGTGGAAGGACATGCTCGAGGCCGAGGCCGCAGCACGTGAACAAGCCGAGGAGGAGAACAAGAGATTACGGGAGGAGGCCTTGCGCCTGAGGACCGAGACGATGAGCTTCCCACTGGCCTCCGCGCGGCCTGGGCAGCGGGACTGGGTTGGATCGGTGGCCTCATACTCAGCCGCTTCTGAAAGAGATTTCGTTCGAAATGCTAATACTGGGAGTTCCTCCAGTTCCACACTGGTCATGGAATTGGAGCTCCTGAAACAGGAGAATGCAGAGTTAAGGAAGGAAGTGAGCGCGCAAACCTCGATGCTTACATCTCGGAATCGGGAGAAAGAGCGTCTATACCAGGAGATTGAAGAACTAAAGTTAGGCCAGCGCCGCGACGGTAGTCGATCAGTGGCGGGCGATAGTATCTTCGATCGCTCGGCATCCCGAGCTCATGGTAGGCCTTCGTCCCGTGCTAGTGATGGGACAGGTCAATCTCCAGGCGACGAAGCAGAGCGAGAAGACTTAGAAGTGCGGATTGGGGAATTGCGTGACCAGGTCTCGGCCCTAAAACTCGATAACCAGGCTGTTCGTGAGCAAGCTGAGGAGTATCTTCGAGAATTGGAGGCTGTTGACAAGGCTTACCAAGCAGATGTAGACCAAGCAGATGAAGAAATCGAGACTCTGACTCAGGAGCGCGATCAGGCCTTGCAGGAACGTGACCAGGCCTTGCATTTGGCCGAGGAACGCAACGAGGCTTTCCAACATCTGAGGTCCGAAGCCCAGGAGGAGATAGACACTGTTGGAGAGGAATTAGATCAGAAGGTCGAAGAGTGTCAACAGTTGAACGAGGAGCTCAGGGTTCAAGATGAAAACCTAAGAGCTTTGCAGGCCGAAATGCGTTCGGCAAGTGAAGGTATCATTCGGCTGGAGGAGGATGCGCAGAACAACCTACAGCGATATAAGGCTGTTCAGCAGGAACTGGAAGATTGCAACCGTGAGATGGAATCGCTGGGGAAGAGTCTGTACGAGTCAAACACCAAGGTTCAGCGACTAACGGTTCAAATTGAGTCGAGTCAAAACGAGATTGCGTTCCTAAGGGAAGAGCAGGACGGCGATAAGATCAGGATTGGAGACCTCGAGTCAGAGCTCAAGACATACAGGCTGGCACTTCAGAGTGAAAAGGACAAAACTAAGGAGCTAGAAGAGCGTCTGGCCGAGGAGCGACACCAGCGGGAAGTTGTGGGCAACAAGGAGAAACAAGAAGTCCAGCGCATTATCAATGAGCTCAATCGTGAAGCGTCCACAGCTAAGGAAGAGGCGCGCAAGCTGAGGAAAAGCCTCTCAGCACAGGAGATCGACACGAATACGTGGAGAGAGCGGCTGATGGACTTGGAGAACAACCTGCGTGAAACACTGGGCGATCTGACCGGCAGTCGCTCTAGCCTCATTTCCAACATCATGAAACTGCAGAAGGAACTCGAATCGACTGCCCTGGAACTTGAGAGTACCCGCTCCAAGCTCGACGAGAAGGAGTCGTTGTTGCGAAACCGGGATGCGCTACTGGAGAGCCATGGTCTGGAGTCACGTAAATTGGCCGAGCTTCTTGATCGTGAACGCCAGGCTCGCCGCGCCGACAAGCAGTCATTCGATCAGGCCCTCAAATCACATCACCAGGCGTCTCGGACCATCACGCAGAACAACTCGCGCATTTCAGACCTTGAAAATGCACGGAATCAAGATCGAAAGCGCTTCACGACTATTGAACAACAGTTCAAGGACCAGCTAAGCGAGAGGAACGCTATGCTCTTAGCGATTTGGAAGCGTCTGTCCTCGATGTGCGGGCCGGATTGGGCCCACTCCAACAGCCTGATCAATGGCAATCTGCCTAGCCAGGAAGTCATCGGGAATATCCTATTTTGGCCCGGCTTCAGCCGCAACCTTCTACTTGCTGTCAAAACCCTGGAGAACGTGGTTCTGGGGTTCAAGGCTCGTATCAAGGGCGTTGAGCGCGATTTAGCCAAACAGTATCAGTCTTTAGAACACACTTTCAGCCTGCGAGTCAAGAAACTGGATCGTCTGGAAGAATCGATGATGAACATGCGCGCGCAGCAACACAACCGCAGCCTGTCCGGAGTGTCTCCGGAGATCGCTAAGCTCCGTGGAGAAAACCGGCTCCTGAAGGCCGAGCTTAATCTGCTACAGTCTCATTCGCGCAGTCGGGGATCGACGTTGGCCGAGGCCACAGACGGTGCCCTCGTACACGGCTCGCGCCCCCATCAGCTCGCGGCCGACCCCGCCAATAGTGAGAGGTGGATCCAGCGGCTGCGTGAACTGGAGAAGAGACTCAAAGCCGAACGGGAAGCTCGGATCTTGGACCGCAGCGGGGCGCGGAAGCGTCTCGAGGAGCGGGACGCAGAGAACCAGCGACTGCGCGCTCAGCTGGAGAGACGGCGTCTACATCACGACGTGTCGACTAGGACATCGTCGCTCGATGGCGATGGCAGCACCCATATGCGCATGCCAGCTCAACGGCGGCTCGATAGTTCTGATCCCGGCACGAGTGACGGGTACGAGCGCCATCGCGACGACGAGCCGAGTTCGAGTGGGGAGGAGGGCATCTACGTTGATATCGAGGTGTAGGTTTGCTTGCTGCCGGCCGTCCCTTTCCAGTGTCCCGCATCCCCTTCCTTTCTTGAACGATCATCCATTGTTATCTTGTTTATTATTCCCCCCTTGCAAATTTTCTGCTCATTCACCCCAGCCTGTTGATAGCGATGTTGTATATTGCTCCGGTCCTCTCTGCGTGTGTGTACCAGATACCCTCTCTCTCTCTCTTGATTTTGGATCTTATTTCTTTGTTGGCGCATGATCTAGACACGTGGAGCTCTGTTTCTTTGAAGCAAAGTTGAACCAGAGAAGGTGGCCGGCAGAAAGTGAAGAGGGGGACGTGATTGAAAGATTTTTGACCGATTGAAGGTGCAAGAAGTCTGGCCCGTAAGAACAAAAGACAATCGAGACATAAATCGTTAGTCCCAGTCTACAAAGATATACAGTACAACGTAGCATCGTAAGATCCTAACCTCCCCACTCCCAGCGTCGCAACACTCGGGCACCGACCGCAACCAACTCACCGCAAGGAGACCTTCAAAGAGAAGTCCACGATGCCGGTACCCTGGTGAATCGAGCTAGTGGACAAGATGTCGACGTCGGGACAAGCATACAGCGCGGCATTTTCCTCCGTCAACCCGCCACTGACCTCAATTAAAAACTTCCGCTTACCCGCCCAATCCGACTTGAGCTGCCTCGCAGCCTCGCGCACACCCTCCGGCGTGAAATTGTCCAGCATGATCACGTCCGCCCCGGCGGCGATCGCAGCATTCGCCTCCTCGAGATCCCGCACCTCGACCTCCACCTTGGTCGCGAAGCCCCCTACGGCCTTTGCGGCGTCGACGGCGCGCGGGATAGCGGCCGCAATCGACGAGGCTCCGCCGTCCTCCACCCCGCCGTCCGCCGCGGCCCGATTGTTGGCACAGGCCCAGACGTGATTATCCTTCAGCATCGTCATGGCGCTCAGGTCATGGCGGTGGGGGTCGGCGCCGCCCACCAGGATGCCGTACTTCTCGACGACGCGGAAGCCCGGGGTGGTCTTGCGGGTGCCGGCCAGGGTGCCGGTCCAGCCCTGGGCGCGGACGGCGGCGACCAAGGCGGCGGATTTGGTGGCAATGCCGGAGCAGCGGGCGAGAATGTTCAGGGCGACGCGCTCGCCGAGGAGGATCTTACGGATGGGACCGCGGACGGTGGCGCAGTGGGTTTTGATAGGGTCGGTGGTGGATGCTGATGAGGTGGTGGTGAGGGAGCCTTCGGGAAGATGCCACTCTACTCTGTTGCATTTGGTTCAATTTTTGGGGTGATCATTAGTGGGTTCTTGTCGATTATGGTTGTGTCTTGTGGAGTTGGGTGAAATGGGGGCTTCGTCGGTTGGGAGAGAGGAGAGGGAGGGGGAGGAGGAGGAGGAGGAGGAGGGTTTGACGTACGTGCATCCAAGTTGCGCAAAGACTTCATTGAAGAACGGAACACCTGCAATGATACCCTAGACCAGGGGCGTAAGTCAGTTGACAAGAAACAGGAAGGGGAAGGAGGAAGGGGAGTTGACAACATACTTTGCTCTTGCCTAGTAGACGGGCCTCGCCCTCGGATTCCCCGACGACGAAGCCGCCATAGTCGAAGCTGGGACAATCCTCTTCCAACCAAGCGCTGATGAGGCGTTTGTAGTTCCCGGGAAGGAGATGACTGAGATCACCGTATTTGGCAGCCATTGGTGTCTTCAGTCTGGTGTCTAAGTAAAATTGAGTATGTAAGGGGATGGGAGGGGAGGTATGGTTTTGTTGATGAGGAAAGGTGGAAGAAGATGCAGGAGATGCAGGAGAGGCAGGAGGAAGGAAGTTGTCGTTGTCAACGAAACCCCCCACGCGGGGCAAGCAATTTCGTCGGGTGCTTCCGGGGAAGGAGCGAGGGTGGAGGGGTAGGAGGATGAGTCAGGACTTATATAATCAATCTGACGATCAACTAACGTTGGTTAATGTACTCATGCTCATGTACGAATACAATACTCCGTCCTTGGAGACCAATATTCCCAAAACGTGTAAGGGGATGACAGTATACGAACTAAATACATAGTACTATCTCAAGATGTTCTACCTCTGCTCTCGTACGCCTGTCTAACTTCGAATACGAACACGAGGTTGCTACGTCGACCCCGTGGATCCTTCCTTGCACCAAGCTCCCAGCACGGAGCTCCCAGCGCGAGAGATGATGACATCTGTCAACACAAGACGAACAAAAGAAATGGAAAAAAGAGGGGGCTTTGACGCCCTTCGGATTAGTGATACAAGAGCTCAATGCTCTGACAACTCATGAGTGAGTTGACAAGTGTCAATTCTCACACTGCTGCGCTGCATAGGAGCTGTAAACAGTTGCTGACGTCAAGAGCCACTCGTTAGTTGAAATCGACTTCCCATTGCTAGTTCTTAGGCAGCAAGATTGTCATCAAAAAAAAGAAAAAAAAGACAGTGAATAAGAAAGGCACGGGTCGATGGGCTGTCTCGTCCTCAAGGAACTCTTGGACCCGCATTTGTACACAGATGTAAATAATCCTTTTCTTACACCAACTTAGATTGCTGCAAGTAGCCTAGTACTGTACGTACATCACGATATGTCGAGAGGATGAGCTCACTCTTAAGACCACATAAATTATGCTGCGCGCTTGTTGTACATTGCATAACTTATGGCTGGAGTCAGGGATCAGCGCCAACAACTCACCGGGTCTGTCCTCCGCCCTGAATACGCTTATGTGGGGTAAACTAGGTTCAGTTTGTAGTCAATAAATGCCAGATTCCTCAGGTCGCGGGCGGATGGAGCTGTGGGTTGTGCAAGTGCATACTACGGGGTTATGCACTGTGGTCAGGCCGTGAAGAGGACCATGCGGTATTCTCACTCCAAGCTGCACGGGGTCGTGTGATAATTAGATGGCAGTCAGTAGTCTGGAATGACTTGGCCAGTTGTGTGTAGTTAGAGCAGCGAAGTTCGCTTTGTACAGTACATAACTGGTATAACTTGGGAAATGCGCAGTTCAGCTTAAGTAAGGCTGATCCACACGCCAAGCTTTTGCCCGGGACTGGATTGTTTCCGTCTCCCGCTCTTTCGGCCTCCGAAGGAAAGTTACTGTACTGTCCGTACCGTACAGTCCCCTCTAGCATCCGTATTTCCGGAAGCACTTGCAGTTTTTTTGCATTCGAGATGCAATAACAATACCAATGTTCTTCACATATTTGTACAGTATTGTATTGTACGGAATAGATGATTTCTTTGCTGCGACGAGCCTGTACATACTTGTATCAAAATCGAACATGAGAAGTGAATCTCATCACCCTACCTAGTAGTTACTGAGTGTAGACATGATGCTCGACCCAGCACCATGGCATGGCGCATGCAAGAAAAAGTCGAAGTCTCTGCCATCAACCATCAATCAGCCTCTCACCTCCCGGCTAACTAATCATTGCTTCTAGCGAGATTCCAGAATATCTTGGCGCCTCGACTGAGCGATTTTTTTTCCCTGTCCCATGATCCATCCCATCCTATCGACAAATGTGCACCCCCCACTGGAAAAGAAAGAGCGAGACTGCGAGAGCTCCGAGGGGCCGAGAGAGCCTCTCAGGTTTCAGAAATGTCAAACAAATTTTCCTACCACGACTTTCTTCCCGTGTTGAGTATTATTTGACGGGAGTAGGCTAACTCACAATGGTTCGACTGTAGATCGTATAGGCGTGCCATTGAAGCTAGTAATATTCTTCCTCCAAATGATGGGAAGATGGAAATTTTGGCCTCTCCTGAGGCCTTTTCGCCCGGTCTTTCCTTCTTCCATTGTTGCTCAGGTCTGGTGGAGTCGGGTTCCCACTACAGAGATCCATTCTTCTAGACCCACGCTGCTTCGGATACATATCACGGTGATAAAGGGTAAATCGGCACACACAAGCACCAAAAGCCAGGGATGTCGGCCAACGCAGCTTGAACAAGAAAAATTTTTTATTCCCATTGTGAGAAAGTGAGCGGAAATTGTTCCGCACTTGAGGACAAATTACTCGTTACGTGTACAGACAGGCACTGATCGGAGTGTAAGATGCCGAGATCCAAGGCCCAAGTGCAAATCTACCCCCCAGTCAGAGGTCAATAGCGACAATCAATCAACCGATCAGTGGTCTGGCTGACCATCGAACCTAAACCCCGTTCGTTCAATCGCCATTGCCGCGGCAGTTCAGCGCGGGTCTCTCCATGCCTTATAGGTGATCTTGCTGCCGTACTGAGCTCCCTTCTTCAGGACCACTGTGTGCCGCCAAGCTGGTTCGTTGATCGCGTTGACAAAGCGACTAGGCTCGATGCAAAACCCGGCAAATGGCCCGCGGCTCGGGTTCCCTTCCGTGGCCGGCACGTCGATGCCTTGTCCCGTGTAGAATTGGAAGGCAGGCTCCGTGCTATACACCTGCAGGTTAAGACGCGAGTCCGGGTGGCGGAATTCGGCCTGCAGCTGGAGGGGCCGTCCGCGTGTATCGAGTGGCACCCGGGCGATCTCGCGCTCCATAACGAAGATATCGTCAAATTGATTCTCGGGCCCGAAGGTGAACTCTTTCGTCACCTGGCTGGGATAGGGTTCGATCGGGCCGCGAGGGATCCCACCCTCAAGAGGCAGGTAATCTTGTGTAGACAGCTTGGCGATAGTCCCTTCGGTGGTTGCGCCGCTCCCTAGGTTAAAATAGCTATGCTCCCGCACAAGTTGGTCAGATCAAGTGGACTCAATGGACAGCACATAATGCCTGCATACCTGTGGTTGGTCAGGTTGATGACGGTCTCCTCGCACTCATCGCCCACCAACTCGGCCTCATATTCGATATCCAGCACGGATCGGGTGATGTTACCCTCCTTCTCCTCGCTGACCGTGTAGAAGACCTTCAAGTCCACCGTACCCGGGTACCCGGCCTCGTTATGAAGACTCCGATAGGTATAAAGCAGGGTTTCCTTGCCATGCCGCTGGAGGACGGTCGGGCCCTCGAAGTTGCGTCGGCCCCAGCCTTGACTACCACCATGCAGGGCGTTGGGGGCATCGTTCTGCTCCAGCTGATATTCACGGCCATTGAGGTTGCGGATGATTCCGTCCTTGATCCGATTGGCCACCCGGCCAATGTTGGCACCGAACCAGGGACTATTGTGTTCCTCGTATAGCTTCTGGGTTGTGAATCCCTGGACTATGTTTTGACCGCCCACGTTGAATTCCTGAATGATGGCGCCCAGAGAGGTAAACTTGACGGAGGTATGGTCACCCATTTTGTTATTATTTTCCGGCGATTAGGTAGACTTTCGGCAGTAATTGTTGCTAGTCAGGGCGAAGGTCAACTTGATAAAACAAAAGATTGGGACACGTATAAGCTTATCAGGGTCCACGAGATGGAAGCAAGTCAGTTGAAAGGGGGTTTCGGAAATTCACCCACAATTGTTTACCCCGCAATTGCCTGTTTTCCCCGACGCTCGACTTGGCGGGTACGAAGTAAGTACGGCGAGTGAGACCCTGTGGCTCAAAATTGCTCAATGGAAAGTGAGGACTCGCTGGGCCTGAGAGAACATTAGCCCCTCCTTATAATCATCTCATATCGGATAAATTGCTCCACGAATGACGAAAGTCATTTTGAATAGAGCTAGTATTTGATAAGTGAAAGACTTAAGAGAGGGGAAATGGACAGACACCGAGCCCAGACATTTAGGCTAAACCACCTTCATTGGGTAATCTTCCGGGGAAATGAGTGCCCCAGGCAGAAAAATCAACAAACAAGTCAATAAATCAGCAAACAATCCAGCAAATAAACCAGCAAGCAAACCAGTAAATAATCCAGCAAACAATCGAGCAAACAATCTAATAAATAATCTAATAAATAAATCAGCAAACAAATCAGCAAACAAATCAGCAAACAAATCAGCAAACAAATCAGCAAACAAATCAGCAAACAAATCAGCAAACAAATCAGCAAACAAATCAGCAAACAAATCAGCAAACAAATAACCAACTATGAGTATGTGACGAGCAGCTATGGAGCTTGACAAGAGCACTTGCGGCAGGAATCATGCGGTACGGCATCAAACAAGTATTATCAACCCATCCACCCATCAATCTTCCCGCTGCGTACTGTACTGTACTTTACTGTATGTACTGCATGCAGCATGCACATATGAAGGAGCTCAGCACACAGAGCGGCCAAACGCGAGCCTCGGGTCGGTCATGACGGAGTGCGTGGAATTCCGTGCCGAGATCACATCCGCTGAGTCACTATGAGAGAGATGCATGCACAACTACCAAAAGTACGTTAATGGTTACCTGTTACTACACGTAGGCAGTAGCCAACTTGATTTTCTGTTGGAGTACTCGAGCAGGTAAGCTATGCGACGCCTGCTTGAGACATAGAAATCTCACTGCATACGCTACTTTCGATATTAAGAGGGACTCATTACCCTCTTCTGACTACCTACAGTACGTACTGTACATGTGCGTTTGCGGATTGCCGACTCGACATACGGTTGGCCCGTGCGGCAGCAGATATTAATCGCTCAGCCCACCTCATTCGGTCAAATGGCCTGCAAGAAGGACTGTGAGACTGGTACCTTACCCGTTAACTAAGTTACTTGTTACACACATGTTCAGGCGGTTCATCGCGAATCCACTTATCCTAGAGCCCCGTCTTCACCCCGAAAGTTTGGGTTGTCTTGGTGTTCTAGGCCGAGTCCTCCGATTTCTTCTACTTCTCCAGCCAGGCTGATTAATGATTCTCGGAAGCTTCCAGCGGTTCGGGGACTGGATTAGTCAGGAAAGTGGGAGTTTAGGCACGGCCCAAAGCGGTAAACTCCGACCCCATCGCGGAATCGGTGCACCACTGGAGCCCCTGTCGGACATATCATCGGGCCTTTCTTTGCCTTTCTGACTTCTTTTGTGTGGGCAGTTTCCACGACTCCATTATTTATCTCACGGCATTCATTTTCAGTCGTGAGACTAAAGATCAGGAGTAGCCTGAGTTTTGATTATGGTACCTGAGTGGCCCAGGGGCACTGACGACATTCAAAAATCGATTGACCTCTACATTACCACATACTGACATGTAGAGACCCAGACTCGAAGGCTAGAAGAGATGCCGCTTTTGCGTTCCATGAGCGCGCTTGTGCGTACAGTACAGTACATCCAAAGCTTTATGCAAGAGGTTGCCAAGGGGCCAGGGCAGACAACTGAGAAGTCCCGAACAGGTCGTGAGCCGATCATCAGACATAAAGAGACTTCTTAAATATCTACTGTGGATAAAAAGTAAAATTACTGGAAGTGTTTGCTGTCAATGCCGGTTCCAATCCCCGTTTACGCCCTGGCAGTCAATTGGCCCGTCTACTTTTGACCAATGCTCCAAAGGTGGTCTGCGTCCATCAAAGGACCCAGGTATGCAACCTTGATGGTTGGAAGGTGGGTGCAGAACCTAATGGAGTAAGGAGCAAGGAGAATGACCCAAGGTGGAAATGACAAAATCAGATTGTAGTCCAGGAAAAAAAAGATGTCAGAGTCCAACAGACTAACAGCATAGTCTAATGCACATGGATCACGGACTTTGGGATGGATTATGGAGCTGGTGCGACCTCCGTAATTCGGCAGTAAAAAGTTTTCAAAACAAGGTTTTTGCAAGTATGTACACCGTACAATCGCCGGTAATGAGTGGTGTAGTTCACGTATGTATAGATATATGGGTAACATACAGTACAAACAGCTTCAGTGCTCACCAGCAGGTGGTCGGCATTGTGGATTGAGCTTTCTTTTTTTTTCTTTTACGGGTCTGTCTGTGACAGTTTCGGGATCGGAGGGACGAAACACACAGGCTGGAAGATGGATGAAGCCGTCAAGCCAAGATCTCTCCCAGGAGTTCGCTTGGGCTAGGCTCCATCAAGAACCAAACTTTGGGCAGGTGTTAGCGGCTCCCGTCGCATTGCTGGTGGGGACTGGACCCTCTCTTTCTTGCTTTTCTCATCATGATTCAACGCTGCACCCACCAGTACAGTACTCCTCCGTAGCTGGCGTGAGCCCCTATCTGCATCAGAACAGCAGCATCTAGATGCAACCTTCGGCTTGGCGTAGAATTAGCTAGTCTGCACCTAATGACTCGGTCATTGGTAACTACCCCGTCGAGAAAGAACGAATCAATGCTGTGTGCTGCGCTGTGCTGGATTCATTACATTCGGAGAGAAGCCACGGAGATAAGAACGGGCTGACATCTAATAATAATAATGACGTCCTCCACCGCCGGTTTTAGTCAGGGCGGTGTCTCAACGTCATCCGTCCAATTTTTCTACTACTGCCTGCCCCAGGCCCAAGTTCGGTCACTTCTCGGTACCTAGTTGGTTCACCTCACAATAATAAGATATATTCGGGCGCTTTATAGGGCACGAAATGGTAATGAGTGCAATATATCTAATACCCGGAACTCAAACACCAGCGCAGAGAAAAGGAAAATTGACTCGGAGAAAAATGCAGGTGGGGAGTCAGTCCAAGAAGCCCAGCCACTGTTTTGGAAACGCCAACGCCAGTATCACCCAAAACACCCAAGACACCATCATCACCACAAACCCATGCCAACACCCAGTCCAATCCAAATCCCAAGACTCAGAAACAATATCCGCCAAAGTCCGAACAAGAAGGAAAGAAGGATGAATAACTCCCCATAAAATTCAATCCAAAGGATAGCAGTGAACTACTTCCCATGGATGAGACTCTGCCAATCACCCTCTGCCGCGATCGATTAAGAACGCATGTAGTTGTCGAGAAAAAAAGAATAGGAGTAGCACCAGGCGAGACATTTGGAAGGACAGGTCATACATGTATACTGTACAGGCGTCACGTCACGATGGTGAAATTCCATCTCGCGCCAACAAATCGTAACTTTGGCAAGATTGCGGTATGTTCAAGGAACTCTTTAGGTAGACGCGATCTCAGGCGGGTTCGCATTTAGAAATTGATTGATGTCTTCGTAATCGCTTTTCGTGTCCATATACGATGAGGTCAACATGCAACTCATGGGAATCTGACGGTTGAACATCGGGGAGGAGACCTGATCATCGAAGGACAGGTTCGTGTAGTCCGAGGCACCTATCAGATCGATATCCTCAAAAGAGCTGAAGTTGTTGCTGGGCCATTGTTGCGGAGTCTGAAGCGCCAAGGGGTTGACCACGCCTTGCATAGACATGGAAGCTGCGAACGCCGGGTTCGAGGGGGCCATCTGCGGTTCGGTCTTGATCGTGGGTCCCTGTGCCCGAGATGCACTGAAGGTCGTCGGGGTGGGTGGTATTTGATGCGCAAAGGGATCCGAAAATCGAGTGGGAACAGTGGGCGATTGTGCGCTATCGGAGCTTCCATCTGACGAATCTTGGCGTTGCATGTGCCCGGCATTTTGCGTCCACAGCTCTTGCTGCATGGCCTCCGTGTTCTCTTCGAAGCGCTCGCCTTTTGTCTGATCCAGAGCCCCCAGTCGAGTGAGTAAGTCGTGCGTCAGCGGATGGCCGTTTGGTTCGCATTGCAACGGTTCGCCGGGCCAGCCTTCGCCTTCTGTGGCTCGTCGGTACAGCTCCTGAAGTCCATGAACAAGCCATGCTTGTTGCTGTTCGAGCATCTCAACATATCTGTCGGGCGAAGAGTCAGTCAATGGTTCGAACACGACTAACTCCATACTAAAAGCTCAATGCCAAGGAACGCGCTCACCCCTTGGGGTACACTTTATCGTGGGCCTTCTTCCGCTCGCCAAATACACAGATGGCATTGTCCGTCCTACACCGACCACATGGGTTGGCTCCGTCACACTGCACCTGGTCAGTGCATCAGGCCGAAGCTGATGCGTCGAGCCATGGCTTTAGCTTACCTTGGATTTCTTCAGTCTGCACCGATCGCAGGCCTTGCAAACCCTCTTACGGACATTGCCGTCCGAATGTAAATGGTCTGAAGTCGGTGACGATTGGCGCGCTGTCATTGTGTGTATGGGTATATAGATATATATGGGAGTGGTGTATGTATGTATGAATGTATGTATGTATAGGGTGATTATAGATTATTCGGCGGAGCTTGTCGAATGGCAAAGCGCAGGAAGGAGAGGAAGGTGGAGGAGGTAGGTAAAGATAGAAGAAAGAGGGGGAGGAGCAGAAGAGAGAGATGATGATGATGATGATGATGATAGCGGCGCCAGGGACCGGAGGTGGGGTCTTGTAGTCAAGTGAGTAGAATGTCGTTTGCTTATCTTCTCCTCCTGTGAGAAACTGCTGCAGCGGAATGTTGTAATGATCCAAGTATCGACGGGGGAGTTGGTTAAGGTTGATCGATGATATAACGATCTTGGGGCAGGAAAGGTAAAACCGATGGGATCACTTCTATCTCGAGCTTCTCAGCCAATGCAAGGCACATGAGTTGATGGAACGCCGAGTGAATAAGTTGGATCGATCCAGAAGACTGGGTAGGGTTGCAATGATCCAGAGTCGGGAGAGTTCAGGTTGATCGAGATAGGGTTAGCTGGTATATAGTTGGTAGTATAGGTTACTACCAGTATTCGAAGGAGAGAATCCGCGCAGAAGAGAATGAGCTCGGGATTAAAGTCAAGAGAGCTAGAGGTAGAAGGGACTTTGGGAGCTCTTTTAGAATTTGAGAGTAAGAGAAGAGAGGGGGGGGATGGGAGGGCAGTTATGGAAGAATTATCATTATTATATTGATTTGAAATGGTCTAGTCGCATCTCAGTAATCAAGAAAGTCGAAGGATGTTCCAGCACGGGTCATCCGTAGTTTACAGTTTCAAATTTACAGGAAGCGGCCGTAACGACCGAACCAGTTGAGCCCAAAACCGCGCCCACCAATTCACTCCTTGGTGGAGATTCCCGCATCAATACAGTGAGTGTTTCAACTTACATTTTATCAAGATTGAATAAATAACCTTGCTGAATATTACCACAGAATTAATACCTTCCGGAGATAAATTGCGTTGATGGTAGTAAGTTAGACTAACATCATCTAGACCCCCTTCCCAATGCTTCTCTTCTTCTGCCGAAAAGTTGGGGTCATTCGATCTAGCTGCACCTCTGAGGCGGAGTGTCGCTGAACTGTAAGGCCGAGTATCCGTGGGATGTAACTGCAATGAATCATGCATTCATACAATCATACGTTGATACAGTCATACATACCTATACGATTGATACGTCACTCGTGGGTATTCTTACCTGATACGAATCACGGATAACGGAACGGGAGCTGAGCAAGAGAAAACCCGCGGCAGAGAGGCTGATTACCTGAATCGGTGTGTCGCGGGCCTAGCCTCGGACCCCGGGGTTGAAAAATCCCCTTTTGGGGGGGGGGGGGAAAGTTCAAGTCAGTTGAGGTTGAGTAGTTACTCCTACCCGAGTCCAGTACTGTGCATGATCACTACACTACACTGCACTGCACTACACTGTTCTGGTTCCATCTTCCGTCCCGCCGGGAGGGTCTCATCGTCCACTGTAAATGAAGTCAATCGGTACCGTTCTGGTGGATCAATGGGAAAATCATTGATTGCACTGGAAGCCGTATATCCGATGGTTGTTCACTCTTTAGTTGTCAGTACGTCGTACTATGCGGATCCGGAAATAGGTGACAGTAGCGAATGGGTGTTTAGTGTCTAGCATAGATGTAGAAGATTTCTCTAGGAAAATTCTCGGCGTGATTGAGGCCAGGCCCATAAGTAAGGCAATGGGGAAACAATCTTGCTTGTTTGTGAACGTGGGTGGATGTCACCATGACAGTAACTCGAGGAAATCGAGGAAATCGAGGCGATCGACAGGAATCATTATTATTACCGCAAAGAGATGAAAGAATGAGAATGACATCTCGCTCTTGCATAAGCTCGGCATTACGGCACAACAACCGTTCTTAGTGCAAAGCCCACCTGGGCAGTTCTCGGCAAAGTCATGCCGAACAAGAGCAAGAAACCGGGAGCTTCGACAATAGTTACGGTCGGGACTTACCACAAAGGGGTTGCTTGGCTGGCTGGCTGCCAAGATCGGCGATCTGAAATCTCTCATTCATTCATTCATTCAATAATCGAATAATCATTTTTATCAACAAGTAAGAAAAATAACCATCCTCTTGGATGCATTGTCTGTCTGTCTGTCTGTCTGTCTGTCTGTCTGTCTGATGCATGTTGACTGCATACTGTACGCTGTACCTACAGGGCTCGGTTGAAGTGTCGCCCTGATTATCCTGCGGAAAAGCTTAAACCGGCCGCCTGCTTTCTGTTCCAATTGGCATAGTACTCATGTATGAGTGACACTACCACATGTTGCCACAAGCTACAGTACTACCAAGTTACCGGGAGAAGAGGACCAAGAACAGTATCGAGTCTATCGATAAGCTTTGATGATTTCAGACTGTCGTTTGCTGATCGGCGTTTTGCTCTGCCATTTCCTCTCCAGTCCGATCGGTTCGCTTTCTTTCTCCGAGGAGAGGGGGAGGGGAAGGAGGGGAAGGAGAGAAAATGCTTGAGCTCCTCCCCCAGCTTCCACCCATGAAATGAATGAGCCCATCCAGTCAATGACGTTAGCATGCCTTAGTTGAGTCGATATCAGGTCACCCACGCTGGCTTTACCCTGTCACTCGCGCCCCGATTGGCTTTCACCCCCTCAGAGTATCCATAGCTTGGTACAATCAAGGTTGCTGTTCGCAGCTGTGAGAAAAAGCAAAGGAAAATACTCGTGAAATGCGAATCTGAGATAGTGTCGGAAATTGACTTTCGTGGTTACGCCACTATTGATGCCTCGTTTGATTGTATAGTTGTAGGACTATGTACTCAGCAATAATACGATAGACTACCTACCTAGTAGATTAGCTTTTTCCCAGCCTTGCGATCATCCAGGGACCTTGGTTCAAACTCCTCCCTCTCTCCCTGCCCCGCCTCATCCTTTCTACCTTTATGCTTCTCCTCGATTCTTCCCGCGTCTTGTTGATGATCATCTTCCCTAGTTTTACCCGGTCCACCCCTCAAGCTCTCTAGAACGGGCAAGTTCAACATGGTTCGGGTTTATGCAGTTGCGATCTTCCATTGATCTTTTCCCCGGGGGGTTCCTTACCACGAGGGATCGACAGACTGGGGAACAGGTGATGGCTCGAATCACCGACGAACTACTCGGTACTATGTAACGAAAGTGAACGTACCGTACTCTCAACGCAAGGTCTCCCCTGCCTACAGTCACGCAATGAGAATTATACCTGCGAGGTCTAGAACCAGCCCCATGCAGCGTGGGTGCTTCAAACCATAGCGTCATCCCGCGTTCCTTTTCCGACGGGTCCCACTCACTCACTTCCCCTCAATGAAAGGAGAGAGACGGACATGTTCTACGATGAGGAGACCTTAGGGAAGAGAACATGTCCGCACGGGATGCCGTATCTCAGCCGGATAAGCATATGCACAAGCACTGGCTGCTCTGGCTGATATGTCATCACCGGCCGGCGATAAGATATGACTTGTGTTCGGTTTCACAATCTGGACTCGCCCATGACCTCATGCTGCCAGGGTGTTTGCTAATCCACCGCAGTCATGCTGCCACAATTATTCGATGACCCGCATGTTGTTCATCGCATCATGAGCCAAAGAGAAACCTGATTATCTGAAATCAGTGACGGTGGGAGAAGGTCCTCGAAGGGCTAGAGCAATTCGTATTCTTCGACCAACAGCTTTTGTGGTAGCAACGTGTGAGACAGGAGGGTATATGGACATAAGACACGCATTGGAACGCAAACCGGGATGCAGACCCCGAGACCCGCACAGCCCGGCCAGACCAGAATCAAAAGCACCACACTCGTCGCCAGGTTCTGGCTGCCGGACGATTTTGCTGCTTCTCTCGATGTGATGGCGTGGGAGGATCGGACTTGCCATAACGATACCTATCAGCCGGTTGTTGATGGACTCGTTTCCTTTCCCGGAGCCATCCAAAGCCTCGCTGCCGGGGTGCTACGTGCTTAGAGGGCAGTTCCACGGAGGGCGAGTGGACGATCGTGCTAGCCGTGGAATTCAATTCTGGAACCCAGCCGCTGCCATGAGCCGGCTCTGGGATCAAGGCCGTCGGCTGATAAAAGGCCTGGCGCGCCTCGACCACTCGGCGGATTAACACTGATGAGAAGTTAGCATTTGGACGTCTAGATCGAGTGGAACGAGTGCTTACAGGAAAATGTCTCCTCGATATTGACCATCTCACGAGCGCTGGTCTCCATGAAGCCGCACCCATGCCTGCGGGCATACTCCAAGCCCTGAGGAGCCCCGATCACTCGACTCTCCTTCAGATCGCACTTGTTACCTGCTACGATCTTGACGGGCGGCGGCATGCCCACCCGAAGGCCCGCCGCACTGTCTCCCAGTTCTTGTCGCAGGCGGTGACTCTGTTCGGCTCGCTGTTCAGTCTCGATCTCAATCATATCCATGAAGTAATCGAGGGTGTGCAAGCTGTGTTGATTGGTGATATCATAGACCAGCAAGAAAGCATCTGATTCCAGGTTGGAAGCCGTCCATAGTCCGCGGTATTCCTCCTGGCCCGCCGTATCGGTGATAGACAAGAAGTAGGGCACTCCATCCACGACGCGCGTGACGGAATAGGAATCCTCTGCAGTTGCCCTTGCATGTTAGTGACCGCTCAAGTGATTGTCGGGAACGGTGCGGTGGGGGAGCGAGCGTTACCGATTGTAGGATCGTACCTGGCGCCGCGCAGCGGATTAGCTTTATGTTGTGCACGCAAACGACCGGACACTTACTCATGAGTCCACTGGCTGCGCACCAGTCTGAGAGTGATTGAAGACTTGCCTACAGTGCGACCAGCCCTGATTAGTGATGCGAACGCGCATTGAATTGTATTGTGTTTATGAGGAGAACCATGCGCATGTGAAACGGGGCAGCGCAAGAGCTACCTCCGCATTCTAACGCCCCATCCACCTCTGCATAGTCTGTGATTCGATGGCACGTACCGCATCCACCATCTCCACAGATCGTGATGGAGATTTTCTCCGGAGAGCCCGGCATCGGCATCATTAGAAAAGAGATCGGGCGGTGGGGAGAGGGGGGTCAAGAGGGGGTAGGCGAGGTAGGAATTTGAGAAATGATAGTAAGCCCGTACAATCAACTGTGAGCAAGCGGGATGATATGTGATGATTGACGAGATTGCGAAGCCATAGAAGAAAATTGTAGGAGGGAGAAAGGAGATTTAATATAAGTGATCGACCGACTCAGTGGGCCGAGTGAAACGTTCAGCAGGAACCCAGGCACAGGATCAAGATCCGGTCGGGTCGGGGTGGGTTGGATCCTTGAACCAGGCCAGGCCAGGCACAGGCACAAGAGGGATCAACCAGGAATGCAATCGGCTACTTTACACAGTTCAATCGAATTAGTACTGGGTTTTACTAGGGAGTTGATTTACTTCCACGAGGAAGGAGGGGGTGGAGGAGGGGGGTAGTGGGGGATAGGGGGGCGGGTAGAAGACCAAGGGGAAGCGAAGGTATTGAAGGTACATGAATCCCTTCATAATGGGCATGGAATGGAGGATACGAGTAGAGGGAGTAAAGGGTGTCGGGAAGGAGCAACAGGAAGGATAATACTTGTAGATGGAGTAGTTAGATAGCATTATGAAGGAATCTGGTAGGGAGTAACTTAGGCTCCTAGGGAGTAGGTAAGGTAAGTGATATTAACCCCCCTTGGGTTACTAGCAATCCCGCAGTGATCGATAAGGAGGAGGAGAGTGAGTGAGTGAGCGAGTGACGCAACAAAGAACAATGGGATTGATGATTATATGACAATTGAATGGTGACGGATCTCATGATGGGACAGGGCCTGTTGATCTTTTTACTTTGAGAGAGTAGGACTTGGTACTTTTTGTCCTGCACGTCAACCCTAAGTTACTTTTTGTCTTATTTTGCCCCCTGGGATGATGCATCGTCATCGGGTTGGGTTTGAGGCTTATCTTACTCCAGACTTAGCCTGTCAAAAATGTCAATGCGAGTGTACTTGCAGTTCGTGGTGTCATTTAAGGGGAGATCCGTCCGTGTCCACCTGCAGCACTGCCGACCAGTCTGTAATTGATTGCAGAAGATAGAGGATTGCCTCTCGCCCTCTCGCCCTTCCGAGGTGGATGCATCAGATTTGATAGATCAACTGTTGAGGTTGTAAGTTGTAAGTCCAGTGGAGGGTCCATCCACCAGTTGCCTCCCACCGCCTTCCCATCCAGCAGCTGTGCGAACCGGACTCGACCTTCTTCACTTTCCCACTTCGGTCTCGTGTTTCCCTCTCTCTCAACTCTCTCTTCTCTCACCTTCTTCCCCTCTTTTCTTTCTTCCTTGCCTGCAGCCTCAATCTTTGCCTCTTCTTCTTCACTCACCACTGAAAAAGTCCCAGCCACTGCTCACTCAAAGCGGAGAGGGGGACATCAACGACTATTTCATTGTGGGCATCGTCATGCGAGATGTCGACTAGGCTGCCAGTCAACGTCGACAATATTTCTTTTTTGACCCTCCTCCTCTTTCCCGACTCTATCTTAGCGCAGACGCTTGCCCTGTGCCTCGTTTACCAATAATAATATAGATCATTTCGCTTTCTCTCGCTCGGGGTCTCTCTCTCCCTCTCTTCTGTCTCTCTCGAGAAAACCCGCCAGGGCTGGCGGTCGACTTCTTATATTAAAGGCTCCCCAAAAAAGAACATGGGTTGACCACTCACCGTGTCCCCCACCTCCTCTCCCCCGGTCCATTAGTATTATTATTATTATTTTGATTATTTTATTATTTCGATTCTCGATTCCTCCTCCTCTTCTTCTTCTTCCCTTTCCTCCCCCACTCTTCTCTTTCTCTCTCGACCTCACCTAGTCTTTCTCCTCTTTCCTTTTCTTCTTCGCCCTCTCCTCCTCCCGTCCTCCTCTCTCTTTCTGCACAGTGCATCTATCTCTATACTACCTGGCATTGACTTACATGGGGTCTTTTTGAGTCCGGACCGACCTTGTTTGTCCTTTCCTGCTGCCGCGGCTTCGATGCGACTTCCCCATTGGCCTGCCGCCTGATCTCGAATCGATCGGACGTGGTCCGTCGACCGCTTGAGTCGGCCTGACCCCCCCTCCTTACCACCGCCAACCCCCATTTCTCACCCCTCTTCCCCCTTCTCTCCTCCGCCATGGAAGGTTTCGACGACTCCTTCTATCAGGCACACTATCCCATACAGGACCCCCAACTGGGTCCTCCCTCCGATTATCCTCACGCCCAGCAAACTTCTCTCCTTCCGCTAGCTTACCCCAGTTCCGATCAGTTTCAACCGGGAACTTTTCCCTACCAATCGCACCCCTCAGATTTCTTGTCCAACGGTGCCCCTGGTGCCCTGATCCCATCCCAACCAAATGCATTGGCCCTTCATCAATCCGGTCTGCATGGGCACCATCCGGCCCCGGCTCGGATACCCGGTCTGGGAAGCCGAATCGCGAATGCCTCCATGCATGCTTACGATCCGATGTCTCTCCCGGGCCACGGCATGGTCATGAGTATGGAAGCAGCAAATAGCTTCGCTTACGATGCCTCCACTTTCCATACAACCGGCGCCTTAGATCCCAATCTCGATCGCCATCCTACCGTCCAGCGCCCCCCTTTGCCTACCCAAGTCATTGATCTAGATTCTCCCGTTCCTGCTGCATATTCCATTCCCCGGAATCAATCGGCTCTCGCCACCACATACTGGGCTCCGCCTGTGGCTCAGGATCTAAGCACTCCCGTCCAACCTGCAGTCGCCGCCGCCGCCGCCGCTGCCAGGCCTCCCGCCGACACCCCCTCCACATCGACGGCCCGCCCCGCGCGGGATCAGAGCGGCTCGCGGCGTGCTGGTGCTGCTGCACAGGCGGAAGTGCAACAGCAGTCCTACGGGCAAGCCTCGAATACCACCGTATCCCATCGATTTATCCAGCCAAAGCGGCCTTCACCAAAGGGTGGGTAGTGCTCTATTTGATTCCAATCTGAGTCGGAAGGCTGATGCGGATTCTTTACGCTTCTTAGCAGCCGTACCGCCTCGGGCCAAGACAGAAGCGGGCAGCGAGTCTCAATATTCCAGCATTTACTCCAGCAGTGGCTTCGATATCATGGGCATATTGGTAGGTCCAAGTGCCGACCCGCCTACTCAAAGCCATCGCCCACTGATCGACTTCCTTCTAGGCTCAAGTAGTGTCTCGGCCGGATGCCAAAATAAATATCGGTGCGGTGGACTTGTCCTGTGCCTTTGTGCTCTGCGATATCACCCAGGATGACCATCCGATTGTGTACGTCTCGGAAGCGTTCGAGCGGCTTACTGGTTACACCAATGATGAGATCGTGGGCCACAACTGTCGGTTCCTGCAAGGTCCCGACGGTGTGGTGTACCAGGGCATGCAGCGGAAGTTTGTCGATCAGAACACTGCCTTTCGCTTCCGGTCAACCATCGAAGATCGGGCTGAGATTCAGGCCAGTATCATCAACTACCGGAAAGGTGGACAACCTTTCGTGAACTTGGTTACCATGATTCCGATTCGATGGGGTGGCCCGGATTACCGCTTTTACGTCGGCTTTCAGGTCGATTTGGTCGAACAGCCCGACGCTGTCACCCGACGAAACCCCAGTATGACCCTCTCAGAACCCGAGCGGTTCATTGAAGCTGGACTGACATGACTCTTCCGCAGATGGCACGTACATGATCAATTATCAACGCAGTCAATTGCCCAACTACGTAGTCCCCTCTCCGGAGATGTACCGAGTCAACCCGGAGCTGATTACCATGTGGGCTCCGGAGCAGGTGTCGACGATTCTCGACAGCCTAAACGGCTCTATGCCCATCTATCGAGAGTTACTGGATCGAGTTTTGGTGGAAAACACGGACGATGTCATCCATGTGCTTTCGTTTGAGGGTGAATTCCTCTATCTGTCCCCGTCTTGTCCCAAGGTCCTGGAATATGACGCGGTAGAACTAGTTGGGAAGGGCTTGTCCACCGTCTGCCATCCGAGTGACATCGGTCCTGTGATCCGCGAACTCCGTGCCTGCATTACTCCCGAGCCAGTGAGTGTGGCGTACCGCATCCGGAAGAAACATAGTGGATATGTCTGGTTCGAAAGCCACGGGTCGTGGCACATCACCGATCGCGGACGGCAATACATGGTTCTGGTGGGTCGTCCCCGGGCCGTGTACAGTCTTGATCATGTTGCTGTCGTTGGCCGTGGAGGCTTGGCAGAGAACGACCTTTGGGCCAAGCTGTCGATGTCGGGAATCGTCCTCTATGTTTCATCGAAGACGCGGCCGGTGCTGGGTCGGTTGCCGGAAGACCTGATTGGTAAGAGCATTCAGGACCTAATGGGAGCGGACACGCGACCACAGGCCTTGCAGGCACTCGAGGCAGCGAGGGGTGGCCAACAGGTTTCGTTCAACCACAAGATCCGTCACCGCAAGGGTCACATGCTCCAGGTGCAGACGACGCTTCTACCCGGCGATGCAAAAGAAGGGGCCCCGCCTTCTTTCCTGGTGGCGCAGTTACGCTTCCCAAAGATGTCCACGCCGGGGGCATCTGACGAACCGGGTTTATCAACGGAATTGGGGCTCGCGCCAACCGGGGTGGACTTGTCCGGGCTGGTGGGAACCAACCGGTTGCCAGCGGGCAATCAGCAATTAGCCTCGTTGGAAGATAATACGCTGTTTACGGAGCTGGCGCCCACGCGAGGTTCCAGCTGGCAGTTCGAACTGCGGGAATTGGAGAAGCAGAACCGCACCCTGTCGGACGAGATGCAGCGGTTGATCACACGGCGGAAGAAGCGCAAGCGCAAGCAGAGCACCATTGTGGTGGAAAAGAGCTGCTCGATGTGTCGGGCAAAGACCACCCCGGAGTGGCGGCGGGGACCCAGTGGCAACCGGGACCTTTGCAACAGCTGTGGACTGCGCTGGGCGAAGCAAGTGCGGAACGCGGCTCAGGCGACGGCCGGCGCGGTCCGCCCAGGCGTGACCTCATGATGAGTGATGAATTGTTTCGTTGTATTTGTGGATCCTTGGATATCATCAATTGTCTAGCGGTTGCTGCTTGAGTTTCTGGATAGTCTTCTGAGCATTTCGTTCCTGAGATACCATTTGTGAGTAGGATGGCTTGGTCTGGCCTCCAAGGGGTGTGGGCGGTTTTATATGGAATGATCGATTCGATTAATTATGAGGGAAACGGATGGATGTGCATTGCTGCGGGCGGCGTTTTCTTTTGGTTGCGTGCGATGAATTTGAATTGTATACTACTAAGAAGGGTTTGACTTGGATATCAAATTGTGGCGGAACCTGCAGGAAGCTGAGAAGGAAAGCGTTTCGGACTATTCGATGACTTGTCATTATTGTTGAGTGTCTAGTTTGTATAGCAAATGACACCTGAAAATACTTCAACCATTCTATGAATCAATCGGTGGCCGTTTGAGGGAGTATACCACTAAACATACTCCTTACTATACATACCAAATATACCTCACAGTACCTACCTAGTCTTGTATATGAATTGATGGAGTCTACATGAATAGAGGAACTACTCAACCCCTCCATTGCAACCACTTCTCCAACCATCGTCTCTCCTCGCGCTCCACCTCCCATCCATTTCTCCCATTGCCCCGAGAGCCTACCCCAACTCCGCCGCGCTCCTCCACCGCAATGCGGACCTCGGCCGCTTCCATGGCCTGAACACCGCCACCCCTCCGGATCAACTCGTCGTCCACCTCCAGATAATTCAGATACCGCTCCAAGCGCCGCCGATACACCGGGAGCATGGGCCAGGCCAGGCGATCATGCGACCTCGCCAGGCCGAACACCGCGCACGCCCGAGCGACCGCGTCTCGATCCCCGTCTCCACTCACGCCCATCAACCACCTCACGCTCTTCATCTCCTTCTCGCTGCCGACCTCCGGCGCCGTGACCGTCCCGCGATCGAGGAGTAGCGCCGCCTTCTTCCGCTGGACGCGCTTCGCGCGCTCCTTCTCCAACTGACGGGGCACGCGACACGTCCGCGGGGTGACGGCATTGCCGAGCGCCAGGACGACGAGGGGCGTGAATTCGCCGCAGACGATGAGGAGGAGGGTGAAGGGGATCATGCGACGGATGTCGTAGGCGGCGCGATGGAGGAGCTGGAAGCTGGAGCGTGAGATGACGCCCGGCCTGTTGCTGTTGTTGTCCTTTGCTGTCGTCTTCGTCGACTTCGTCGAGACATTAGCGCGACCCTTGCTCGCCCCCAGTGCCTCTTGCGTCACCGCCAGATAGGCGGAGGTCGGGAGATGTGCGGGTAAGGCCAGGGCGCGGCGGAGGGGCACCGCGGCGCGGTGGTTGTGGTAGACATTCTTGAGGCCGGTCTTGTAGAAGGTCAGGTAGGCGCGGCCGATGGCAAGGTAGTGTTTGAGTTTGTCGGCGGGCGAGGCCGAGGGGCCGAGGGCGGAGGGGAGGGTGAGCTCTGCTGGGCGGGTGCTCGCGGGCGGGTTGATGTCGGTGGAGAGGGAGTGGCTGACGGTGGAGGTAAGCGATTGTGGGGACGAGGTTTTAGATTCGGAAGAAGGGGAGGGAGACGAGGTGGCGGATGTGGTGGAGAAGTATTTGTGGTGGTGGTATTTGTTGTGCTGTTGTTGCTGGTGGCGGAGGAGAGAAGTGATGCTGCTGCTGCTGCTGCTGCTCAGGGAGGTTGACGGCAGTCGTGATCGGAGGAGCACTCGGGCCTGGGGGGGTCTGAGGGAAACCGGCATTGTTGCCGGGGGAACACAATTGAGTGAGATGGAAGGAGTTGAAGAGCTCAATGCAAGTGAGAAGTACTTAGAGGGATGATTTATTGATTGATTGATTGAAGGGAGGAAGGAAGGAAGGAAGGAAGGAAGAAGGCAAAGTGCGGAGTTTGGATGGAGTAACGCGGAGAAAACAATCACCTAAGGCAACAAGGCATCACTTCATGCCTTAGGCATCACTAATCGTCATCGGGTCAATCGGCCAGCAGTGAACAACAGGAGCCGAATTAATCTCAATATATCCACTGACATAGGATATTCTCTTGTCAAAAGTCATTCTCTGCTACCCCGTAGAGTAACGTTACAGCTTGATTTATCATCAGGGATCAATTGGTAATCAGTATTTGCTGACCCATGTGACTCACTCACCACCACCCGCGATCTATAACCACCTTGAGGTATAAATCATCTCACCCACCATCCTCGTCATCAGCAACAACCAAAGAATACTCTGGAAGAGCACCACACCTCCCCAACCACCACGCCCACCACGCCCACGCCCATACCCATACCCATACCATCCACGAATCAACCAAGACATCATCCACCATGACCCCTCCCAATCCACCAATAACCTTCACCACCCCGACGGCGCTCCTCCTCGTCGACAACCAAACCGCCTTCACGCATCCAACCCACTGGGGCCCCTCACGGTCCAACCCGCTCTACGAGCCCAACATCCAATCCCTTCTGCTCGCCTTCCGCGCGGCGGCCGCAGCAGCGCAGACGACGCCCACCACCACCATGGAAGTCATCCACGTCTTCCACACCTCGACGGAGCCAGACTCGCCCTTCCACCCGGCGGCCCCGGTCAACGGGCGCGAGCCGCTCGACTTCGCCGTGCCCGCGCCGGACGGCTCGGAGCCCGTCTTCTGGAAATGCGTCAACTCGAGCTTCATCGGCACGGGGCTGGAAGCCCACCTGCGCGCGCGCGGGATCCGCCAGCTGGTCGTGACGGGCTTGACCACCGATCACTGCGTGTCGACGACAGTGCGCATGGCGGCGAACCTGGGCGTGGTGGATCGCGGTCGGGGTACCCACGAGGGCGGGGAGGAGGATGGTCTTGTGCCCGTGGATCAGCGCACGGGTGCGCATGCAATCCCACCGACGGCGGATCCAGGGCGCATCCTCTTGGTAGGCGATGCGACGGCAACGTGGGCAAAGGGGGGCTTCGATGCGGAGACGGTGCACGCGGTTTCGTTGGCGAGTTTGGATGGCGAATTCGCGGAGGTGGTAAGGACTGAGGAGGTAGTCAAAGCATTGAGGAAGATTACATAGTTTTCTTTCTTGGTCTTTTTTTCCCTTCCTCTGGAATGAGGATACATAGAGGGAGGAGGAGGATTCAATAGCGTAAGTGATTTGCGGATTGAGATAATGATAAGAAAGTAGTCTCGCTTCAGTGTAGCCCCCCCCTACAACGGCACCTCCACCGCAATGATATTTTTCGACACAAAGCCTGTCACAAACAGCATCGCCGTCTTCGCCGCAGGATCCTTGGGATCTACAGGGAGCAACAACGCGGTGCTGGCGGATCGGATGTTGCTTCCATCATCCTCGAAAATGAGCCGCTTCTCCCATTCCGGGCTCGCTGTATCTCCGAAATGACGACGCAGGTGCCACACCATGACTCCTTCCTGAGCATGCGGGTCGTTGTGAGTTCGGCGCAGATCGACTGCCCGCAGCAGACCACCGACCACGTATCCACTAGCGTCATCCTCGGGGGTTGCATAAGGATCGTCATAGTAGGTTGGATTATCGATCGTGCTCTCGAACGCAAACTCATCCAGCACCGAGAGGGTGCGGTTGCTGCGGTCTGCCCTTGCACGGTACAGGATGCCTCCCGCGGCACTGGAGAGCAACAACTCCTCCTTGGACTGCCCATGGCCCAATCCGTTGATGTTCAGGTATCCCTGAGACGCTACGACGGCATCGACGCCCGTAGCTGCGCTGTTCGACTGAATAGGATTGACATTCACATGGATGACATTGGTCCATTTTGCCAATGGGAGTATATCTTCGACCGTGCGCATGATGCCTTCTCGATAGAAGTGGTCGTTCGTGACATAAATCGAGTGCAGGCTCTCGGCGTAAATGTCGTTCGGGGTGACAATCAGGGGATGAGATATTGAGCGGACATGGCGAACGGTGCTGGATCCCAAGACATGGTGAAAGAGCTCGATCTGGGAGTGGGCCTTCGGAATGCCTTCAGTCGAGGGCTTCTCAAAGTAGTGCGGGTTCGATAAATGGTTAATCGCATAGATGTAAATGGCACCCTGGCGATCCGGATCGTCGACCAGATCAATCCCATGCGTCACAAAGGGCCCGTGGAAGTTATCGAATGCAAGTCGCCGGGACTTGAGGGTCTAGTCGTATACCATGAGCCTCGCATCACTATCATGCCGACTGGGCACGTCTTACCTTGGGGTCGATGACATGAAAGGAACCTGTTGACTGAGCCGGCCCCTGCAAATTTCCCAGTGGTGGGAACCATTGAAACCGGGGCAGGAGGGAGTCTTCACAGGCTACAAAAATCTGGCCAGTAGGTTGATAGTAATGCATATCTTCGCACTGCATGGTGTCCTCGATCTTATGGATTTCCTGGGCCTCAATTGTCACGATGTCAGTGGCGGTCCGAAAGACTCCCACGACGGTGAGCCAGTGACAGACAGGCCCATAAAGATTGGCTGCCACCAAGACAAGGATGGCGAGATTGAAAGAGCTCTTCATAGTGGAAGAAAGATACTCGAAGCTAGGCTAGCCAGCGTGGTCAGTCTGCGTAGCCGTGACTGCGCTTCTGTTCCGAGCGTGTATACGTGTTAGTTGTCCCATTTCTCGGAACAACCTTCAAGCGAAGCATTGGAAAGAGGAAGAAAGGAGGACAAGGATGAGGAGGAGGGAGAGGAGAGGAGGCAAGGGGGAGGGGGGGCAGGCCAACTGATGAGCAAATCTAATCACCCAAAGAGGAATGCGGGGTACAACAACTGGACCATAGCATAGCATATCATACCTACATTACTTGATCCACTGGTCTATCACACACTGTTTGCAATCTGAGAGTTGGAGTTGAGTCTGAGTCTCGCGCTACAGCTAATTTCATTCCATAATTCATCTCCTCCCCCTACCCCCGCTTTTCGTTAGGCTGGATGCAATCCCCTTTTCTCATTCATTTACAGAGCCCCGGATTTAGCTAAGTCAGAAGAGAAAGCAAGGCAATAGAAACATAAAACCCAAAAAGCACCCCAGAAGCACTGTCCCCACTTTCATTCATTGCTAAGTAACTCCATCCACAACCCAGAAAGTCCGTGCTATGAAGAGTCCCTGTCGTGAACCAAGCCACTCCACTAATGCTGAGATTTGGCCTCAAGGTACTCTTGATCACTGGCATCCAGGATGTCGTACTCCTCGTCTGTCAAGAGACCAACATCCGTCTCATCATCCAAGGTCAGACTGTCCATGTCATCCAGAACATCCTGCTCCGAGCGGTAAGACACCGAGGGTGCCGTAATTGCAGCTTCGTGCGTGCTCGACTCCGGAGACTCCTTCTCCAACTTGGGAAAGATCATTTGACTACCCGTAGGCTCAGGCTGATCAGCTTCCACAGCGGGTGCCGCTTGGACATCCTCGGATGGCAAGGGGGTATCAGCCACCGGGTTCACGTTGCGCACTTGTATATCACACCACAAACGGTGGCCAAATGGCATGCCGGTAGGAAGCTTGAGTCGCCAATAGGAAATGGCAGTGCCTAGACGGCTAGGTGTCTTGAGGGTCACCGTGAAGTCGGCACTCTGACCGGGCTCCAGAGGCTGGCTCAATTTGTTGCTCTCCATGGCGGCGGCGATGGAGTTGAGGCTCAATGGGTGGTTGGTGTCCACATTGAACATTGAGTCGCCACCTACAAACTGCACATCCGTCCCGGCAGGCCACGCCAAGGGACCGGGGTTGAACAGTGTCCATGTTTGCTGGAAAGGAGTGTTGGGAGCCACGGCCGTGTCATCAGGGATTGTGTCACGAATGAAGAAAGCTTGGTACCCAGAGGCGGGGTCCACAGCCAGGTTCTGTTCAGTCTGTTCAACTGGGGCTGGGGTCGTGTCCACAATAGGGCTGGCTTGCTCCACGGGAGCCGGCTCCTCAACGGCCTCTTTGGCTGCTTCGGACGCTTCCTGGACCGTCTGCTCGGGTTCACCAAGAGTGGCGGATTCAGTTAAAAGAGACTTTTCCAGGCGGTCACCGATCATGGTCACTCCTTGCTCGGATCTATCGAAGGTGCTGACCCGGACGTCGCGCACGGGGGTCTTGAGCATGAGCAATGGGTGGGTTCGGTTATGCGTGTTTGTCGGGTGAACCTCGCAACTGGCGCAGAAATCGGTATCATGGCACACGGAACACTTGTACCTAGTACCAGTGATGAATGTGGGACAGGACTTGGTTCGACACAGAGGACCGTCACAGTAGATACCGTAGTGCACCTCGTGGTTGATCAAAGGCTCAGCGATCGTATCATAAAGGGGAGCGAACCGATGACCCGGGTGTTGCTGAGGGACCTTCTCGTAGCATTCGGTGCAGTAGTCCCAGTCCGGGCAGGTCAAGCACTTGTAGCGGACACCAATGATACGCTAGCACAACCGTTAGTTGACTCTAGACAACATATAAGAACCAGACAAGACCAAGAACAGTACCTTCTCGCATCCATCACAGATTGCCGCATGGTGATGATGACGCCCTGGGTTGCAACGCGACTGGACGATACTCTTCAAAGCGAACTGGCGGTCCTCAACCAGAGCGAATGTGTGGGCGGGATGATGACCATGCGAGTCCTTGAGTAGGCAGGTAATACAGAGGTCGTAGTCATCACAGTCAGCACACGAGACCATCTTGCTCTCTTCATGTTCTATGACTATTTAACATCTTATTAGGTTCAGGATACAGACAAGGAGATTTACCTTTGAGACAGTCATTACAGATACGCAGACTATTGGGCTCTGGCGCGGCCGGAGCTGAAGGTGGAGCCGAAGCCGGAGCGGGTTCGGGAGAGGGCTCGCGGACTGGTTCAGGAGTCGACACTGTAGGCGCCTCCTTGGCGTCCTCAATTGCGACCTTGCGGGGAGGAATCGTCTCGGTAGTACTGTTGGTGACTTGGCCGTCTTTGACGACCCGTCTAATCAACCAGTGCTCTTCATTGAGACAGGTCGCTCCGCTGTTCACGCATTGAGGGCAAAGATCATAATCCCCATTATCGCAAATGCTGCAGTGATAGTGTTCGTTCGGAATGGACAAACCGCAGCGATTGCAATCGATGCAGAATACTCCGCTGGGAGAGGCATGTGACACGACCGGGAAGTGGGAACCATCGAACACGAAGTCACGGAAGTTCGGTGGTGGAGAAGGCTCAGTCTCCCAGTGAGCAGATTGAGTCTCTGCTGGGATGGGACAGGCCGCATTGTCAACCAGGTCGGTGGCTGATGCGGACGCCGTAATAGGCACATTTTCAGCCTGGGATTCAGGGAGGGGGGAACCCAAGACAGTTTCTAGGTAGCTGTATCGAGAGGCAGTCTGCTGTTCTGACGATCCTTCCTCCATAGGAGGCTGGGAAGTAATCTCATCGGCAGTAGTGGCCTTGATTCGTAGCTTGAGTTTCGCTTTGGCTGCTCGGTAGAGTTGTTTGTAAACGGCCGGGTTCTGGCTGTCCAGGTGCACATAGTTGCCGGCACTGTCCGAGTACCGCTCAAAAATCACGTTCACGTCGTCCGGCACACTAAGCAGTTGGCGGAGCTAGAGCCAAGAATAAGAGATCAGCATGCGGTAAGCGATGGTCGCGGCTTGCACAGGTGATCAAGATCCTCGTTACGAAGGGACGGAATATAGGGAGGCATAGGCCTCCAAATGAACGAGACACATATACAGGGGAGGAGACATCATTCTAGCAAGGAAAGTGGTTTTCCGAAGGAAAAGACACTGGGGGAGAGAGAAAGGCAGAGAGTTGCGGAGGGAAGGGCAGGTTTAATATTGATGGGGAGAGGGAGGGGGGGGGGGCCGAGGAGCTCCGGTCGGAGGTCGAGTGGAGACTGGAAACTTACATTCTGGGGTAGAGTACGAGCTCCAAGCTCTTTCAGCGGAATCTTGAAGCGACGAGTATTGTCATTATACAACACCTTGACTGTAATCAAAGTGCTGGGACCCACAGCTGAAGTGGGAGCAGTGGGAGTAGCCATGGTGATACTGATAATGTTGATTGATGATGATGTCCGACCGTGTGGAAGCTCCTGCTTGGCGTAGAAATAAGAGGGTCTGGACCTTATGGATCAGGCAGCACGGCAACGCTAACGGGCTCGGGCGTGATCAAGTAGTAGAAGTAGTCTTGGAGGTCCAAGTGGCAAAGCACGAGACAAGATTAAAGTCCAGAACAGCCCAGCTGAGATGATGGTATTTGAGAGAGAAAGAGAGGATGAAAGGAGGATAGATAATAGATAGATGTAGAGCGTGGGATGGATGGATGAATGGATGGATGGATGGATGGATGGATGGATGGATGGATGGATGGCTGTAGATGAGATGATGGTTGATGGAAGGAGTCGGTGAGGAGCAAAGGGAGGGAGAGTGAGAAGTGACTAAAAGAGTAGATTGAGATAGAAAAGATTCAGAGGATTTGAATGGGAGAGAGAGTGAGGTGGTGTTGAGGAATGTCAAGTTGGAAAGACGTGAGAGAGATGGGGGAGATGGGGGAGATGGGGAAATGGGGAGATGGGGAGATGACGGAAGAGAAGGGGAGAAAGAGGAGAGGAAGAGGAGAGAAGGAGGAGAAGGCGGAGTTAAAGAGGGAGGGAAAAAGCAGCTGGAGGTCAGCTGGTTGCTTGAAGGCAGCCCTGCCAGCCTGCGCGTCCGCGGTTGCTGGCTGGCTGCATCCGGCCGAGGCGGTGAGCCTTCTCTTTTACTCGATGTATCCATAGTACTATGTACAGTAGTACTATGTCAGAACCTACCTAGCAACTTAACTACTCATAGTTGACTACTGTAAAATAAAAACCAAAGACTAATTCATGATCCTTATTTGATTTCCTTCCTTCCTTGTTCTTTCCCTTTTCTTATTTTTCTTTTTCATGGGCCCACCGATCTGTTGACGTGATATACGCGAATACATTCGAATACATTTATATAGTGAGTACTGTACTTAGGATTGCTTCAGTGATTGTCAATTGACCTACCAGGTACAAAGACCATGTAAGTGATCTGTCTCTCTTTACGCTGTCCTTGTTGATCCGACAACGTCAACTGGTTCATGGAGGTCTTGCTTCTCCACTTCTGTAATCATCATTGCCTATCTATACGGCACGGATCTCCGGTTCTCTTCCACTTACCTTACCCCGACTCGGTGACTCCACAGAACCAGTGGAATGGCTATCGAAGTACCTCCTAAGTATTCTGTACTGTACTGTACTTACCTCTGCTATCTATCCTTTCTCCCTCCACCCCCCCCGGTGGATCCGATGCCTGCAGAATGATGAGGCATTGCTGAGTGGCATCTCATCGGGTCTAATTTTGGAATCCCACCGTTCTTCTTGTCCATCCCTCTAGTGCAGTATGATTTCATACTGACCGGGAGGAAGAGGGGACAGCACTGCTGTTGCTCATGCTGCTGCCAGTTAGTGGTAGATCCTTTCTTCCGAGCCCGTTTTGACATCCAGTGCTGACGTCACGTTCAGATCGCCTGCCGGGGGATCACCTAGCAATTG